CCAACCAAGGATGATCCCTCAGACAAAAGCCTGAAGATTTACTCAATCCACCCTCCAACTGAGGGCAATCTCTCAGGTTCCCCTTCTTTCCTGACCTTGGTGTCAGGCAAAGGCCTGGAGGTTTAATCCAACCCACCCTTCAACTGAGGGTAGCCTCTCAGTTTCCCCTTACTTTCCTGACCTCAGTGGATTGGGTGAAGGCTAGAGATTAATTCAATACACCTCCTTAGAAGGTGGTCTCTCAGGCAAAAGCCTGGAGATTTGACCATTCAATTTTACTGTTAGAAGTTAAGGTACCTGTTTTCAAATTTTTTCTTTCTCGAGTCTCTCCTCTCCCAAGTCTTCTTTCTGGCCTATCTTTCCAAGACTCTCTGCATCTCGGTGGGACCTCCAATTGCAGTGCCCACACCACAAGCAAGTCCAAGGTATCAGGAAAAGAAAGACAAGACGTCCAGATGTTTGTACTAAGAGAATGTATGTGCTGCCTTTATTGCCAGGAGAGAGAGAGAGAGAGAGAGAGAGAGAGAGAGAGAGAGAGAGAGAGAGACTTTATTGCAAGTGCTGAGAGGTCTCTCTCTTGTATGAGGGAGCAGTCTTATATAAAGGCTTACAGCACAGTAGGAAAACCCCAGGTGGAAGAGAGCTTGTTTTCCTCCTGCTAGATGTTGATGTCAGAGGGTCAAGGCCGGGGCAGTAAGCCAGAACTAGAAAACAGGAAGCACTTGGACTAGAAAACAAGTTGCACTTGTAGGCTGACCAGCAGCTCACAGAGACCCCATGGGGCCAGGGCCCAACAAGAACCTCTGCCTTAGTGTCTAATGAGGAGAGTAATCACAGAAGACAGTCAACATCAATTTTAGTCACCCATGTACACAAGCATGCATCTATATACATATGAAACTGCATGCACACTTGCATGCATATCACAGGTACGGGTGCCCAAAAACAGCTGAATTTCAAGGATATTCTTGTAAAGCGGGTGGCTACCGAAATGTGTCACATAGTTTGGGGGTCTTCAGATAATGATTATTTCAGTATGAAAGTCTTACCACCTTATGTGACACAGGCTATAAATATGCAAGTACAGGTTTTTATAAGAATTTGTCTTCATTGTTATTAGTTATCTTTCAATAATGCTTTCAACATCTCAAAATCTTTGTTTGTATCTATGTTAACATTTATTATATTTTGTTTGTTTTGGTTTTTCAAGACAGAATTTCTCTGTGTAACGCTGACTGCTCTGGAACTCACCCTGTAGACCAGACTGACCTTGAAGTCATAGAGATCTACCTTCCTCTGCCTCCTGAGTGATGGGATTAAGGCATGTGTCATTTTTTATTCCTGCCATTCTTGTGGGTATAAAGTAGTATCTCACTGTAGAATTAATTTTTACTTTCTATGCAATTAGACTTTTACATATCTTTAGGGAACTGCCTATTTGAAACTTCTGAACACTATTAAAATTGGGTTATCTTTTTCATATGGAGTTATAACAGCTCTTTATATATTCTGGCTACATAAACCTCCCTGAATAAATGATTTACAAAGGAAATTCTGATTCTATGGGTTATTTGGAAGTGAGGTTGGATGTTTTTATTTCTCAGAAGATTTCTTGGAAACTTCTTAATTTTTCATTTGATCTTTTTTTCATTTTACATACTAACCCCAGTTCCCCTTTCCTCCCCTTTTCCTCCCCTCATCTTCCCATTTCCCACCCTCCACCCCCATCAACTCCTCAGAGGGGGTAAGGTCATTCTTGGGGAGTCAATAAAATCTAGCATACCAAGTTGAGGCAGAACCAAACCCCTCAGCCCTTATCAAGGATGAGCAAGGTATCACACCAGTTCATGCATCTGGGATAGGTTCTGGTCCCACTGCCAGCTCTCCCAAACAAGATCAAGCCACATAACTGTCACCCACATTCAGAGGGTCTAGATCAGTCCCATGCAAGTTCCCCAACTGTCAGTCCATAGTACATGAGCTCCCACTAGGTCAGGTCAGCTGTCTCTGTGGTTTTCCCATCATGGTCTTGACCCTCTTTGTTCATATGATCCCTCCTCCCTCTCTTCAACTGAACTCCAGGAGCTCAGCCCAGTGTTTGGCTGTGGGTCATTGCATCTGCTTCAATCAGTTACTGGATGTAGGTTCTATGATGACAATTAGGGTACACACTAATCTTATATAGGGGAAGGCCCATTCAGACACCCTCTCCACTATTACTAGGAGTCTCAGCTGGGGTCATCTTTGTGAGTTCCTGAGAATTTCTCTAGCACCAGGTTTCTCCCTAACCCCATAATGGCTCCCTCTATCAAGATCTCTCTTTCATTGCTCTCCCCCTCCATCCCTCCCTTAACTTAGTCTTCTTGGTCCCTCATGTTCCTATTCTGTATGCCCTCCTTTCTAACCCCTTCCCAGTTTACCCAAATCTCAACTATTTCCCTTCCCTGGGGCCCTCCATATATGTTCCTCTTAGGTTTCCCTTTTACCTGGATTCTCTGGGGTTGTGGATTGTAGCCTGATTATCCTTTGCTTTATGTCTAATATCCACTTATGAATACCATGTTTGTCTTTTTGGGTCTGAGTTACCACACTCAGGATGGTTTTTTCTTGTTCCCATCCCTTTGCCTACAAATTTCAAAGTGTTGTTGTTTTTTTTACTATTGTGCAATACTCTATTGTATAAATGTACCACATTTTCTCTATCCACTCTTCAGTTGAGGGGCATCTAGGTTGTTTCCAGATTCCGGCTATTACAAATGCTGCTGCTATGAACATAGTTGAGGCAAATGTCCTTGTGGTATGATTGTGCATCCATTGGGTATATGCCTAATAGTGGTATTGCTGTGTCTTAAAGTAGATTAATTCCCAATTTTCTGAGAAACTGCCATACTGATTTCCAAAATGGCTGAACAAGTTTGCACTCTCACCAGCAGTGGAGGAGTGTTCCCCTGACTCCACATCCTCTCCAGCATAAGCTATCATTAGTCTTAGCATTCTGATAGGTGTAAGATGGTATCTCGGCGTCATTTTGATTTGCATTTCCCTGATAGCTAAGGATGTTGAACAATCCTTAAATATCTTTCAGCCATTTGAGTTTCTTCTGTTAAGAATTCTCTATTTAGATCTGTACCCCATTTTTAAATTGGATCATTTGGTATTTTGGTGTCTAGTTTCTTGAGTTCTTTATATATTTTGAGATCAGCCCTCCATTAGATGTGAGGTTGGTGAAGATCTTTTCCCATTCTGTAGGGAATCATTTTGTCTTGTTGACTATATCATTTGCCTTACAGAAGCTTCTCAGTTTCAGGGGGTCCCATTTATTGTTGCTCTCAGTGTCTGTGCTTCTGGTATTCTATTTAGGAAGTAATCTCCTGTGCCCATCAGTTCAAGGCTACTTCTCACTTTTTTATCAGGTACAGTGTAACTAGCTTTATGTTGAGGTCTTTGATTCATTTGGATTTGAGTTTTGTGTATGAGGATAGATATGAATCTATTTGCATTCTTCTACATGTCAACATCCAGTTATGCCAGCACCATTTGTTAAATATGCCTTCTTTTTTCCACTGAATAATTTCAGCTTCTTTGTCAACAATCAGGTGTTCATAGGTATTTGAATTAAAATCAGGGTCTTCGATTTGATTCCATTGATTCACGTGTCTGTTTTTATGCCAATACCAAGATGTTTTCATTACTATAAAGTTTTTAATTTTTATCACATCCAGTTTGTCTATTTTTTTATCTTCTGGACCTTGTGGTTTTTGCTTAAATTATCTAATAAGCAATTACCTAATTCAAACACATGAAGATCTGTGTCTATGTTTTATTCTAGGATTTGTACAGTGGTAACTCTTTTTTAGATTTCTTTCAGAGCCATCATTAGTCAGTCTTATGTATGCTGTGAGGGAGTGATCTAACTTCCTTGTTTCTGGTTATTCATGGTTTCAGTCATCATTTGATGAAAAATTATTTTCCTCACTGAATTGTCTTAGCACATTTTTTTTGAGACAGGGTTTCTCTATTTCTTTGGAGGCTGTCGTGGAACTAGCTCTTGTAGACCAGACTGGCCTTGAACTCACAGAGATGCACCTGCCTTTGCCTCCCAAGTCCTGGGATTAAAGGTGTATGCCACCAAATGCCCAGCTTTAGTCCACCTTTAAAAAGGCACTGGAACATAAATATGAGTGTCACTTCTAACCGCTCAGTCTCATTACTTTTGTTCCTTTTTGATGCTATTGACCTTGGTTTTTTTTCCAAAACCACTTTTGGTTCACTCATTCTTTACTGAAAGGCAATTGCTGCAAGCTATCCCAGAATCCGCAGGTTTCATTCAAATGTTCTCTTTTGTATTATTTTCACTGGTCTTTGGATTTTTCTATGCAATTTTTGGAGATTCTATGCAAATGGAGTTTACTTTCTTCCTTTCCAATACAGATGCCTAATTGCCTAATTGTCCTGGCCTATCCCCATAATACCAGTTGAATCATTGTGGCAAGTGACTGCATTCCTGTCTTACTTGTGGTGTTAGGTGAAAATCATTTGGTATTTTGTCATTAAATATGATAATGGCTATCCTTAAGAATAGAAAGGTATGCCCTTGTAATGTGTTTTGTGGTGGGTTTTTCTGTTTTGGTTTTATCGTGGAAGGGTACTAGAGTTTTTCTTTCTTTTTTTCTTATTCAATTTAGAAATAATCTCATTTTACATACTAATCCTAGTTTCCTGTCCATTCCAACCTCCCATGCCTGCCACTGACTCCCCAAACCCACTCCCTAGGGAGGGTAAGGCCTTCCAGGGGGGATCATCTAAGCTTATCATATCAATTTCGGGGGGACCTAGGCCCTCCCCAGTGTATCTAGGCTGACAGAATATCCCTCCATGGGAGAATGGGCTCTCAAAGTCCATTTGGTACTAGAGTTTTTCAAACACTTCCTCTGCTTCTAATAAAAGGATAATAAATTTATTGTATCAATTCTCTTTTCCAAAAATTCAAAAGAAAATGATTTTTGATTTTCAAAAAAATTTACTAAAGGGATCATAACTTTACAAAGGCATGAAACAGTACTTTTGAAGTTGTTTGTAGCTATGTCAATCTAATGTTATCTAGAATAATCAATTTGAAAAATACAAAAATATAACTACATGAATTTTTTCTGGCAAAAAAGTACAACTGTATTTGTTGATGATATATTCTTATAAGACAAAGGAAGCACAATAAATTAACAAACTATGATCATTATCCCTTTTACATACACACAAAAATACACAGTAGACGTATTAAAGGTCTCTGTAATGACTGGCATCTTCTATTCCAAAAGTTTTACTAAAATAGAGATTTGAGTTTTTAAAATGCCATTACATTAAATTACACAAAACATATGCTAAATGTGTTGAGTAAGTTATGCTCAAAACATAAAATGTCATGCTTTAGGACATCAGCAAGCATGTTTGTCTCACACAAGTTGACGGCTGTGATGCCTAGGAAAATAAATGCCCATTTATAGCTTGATTGTGTTCTGTGTGTTAAATACAATGCCTTCTGCTTTAATCCGCTCCAATATTGGCCCATAGATCTCCTTTGTAAATGGTCCCATTAGGCCTTTGGCTTCAATTTCACCTAAAAAAAGAAAAGAACAATACTTTTCTAATTTTCAATTTAAATGTGATACTAATGGTCCATTGCCATGGAATACCAGAGCCAAATGCATTTCAAAGCAAAGCTGTTCAATCTGTATGTGACTAAAATTTGAAATCCTTCACAACAAGTCCCTACTTAGACCTAGAGAGGCTAAGTAACAAGGAGGGCTCAAGGGGCACATGTGATCTCTCTGGGAATGGAAAATAGAATAGATTTTGTGGGTTGACTGGGGTGGGGTGGAACAGGAGGGAACAGGTGGGGAGGGGTGTGGAGGGAGAGAGTACAGGGAGGGATGACTGGAATGAGGGCAGGGAGACTATGTGGAAAACTAATGCAGTGAAAACTCCATGGAATGAAATCTATAGTGGTTACCCTATTGAGGACTCCTAGCAATGGAGGATATGGAACCTGAAGCAGCCTTATTCTATAACTCAGCAAGGCTCGCATTGGAGGGACTGGGACACAAGCCCAGTCACAAAACCTTTCACCTACAATTTGTCCTTCCTGAAAGATGTGCTGAGTGAGGTAAAGGAAGCAGAGAATTTGTGAGAGTGACCAATCAACAACTGGTCTAACTTGAAGCCCTCACTATGAGAGGGTGCCTATGCCCAACACTGCCTGGGCAACCAGAAACCCGAAGCTGGGTATCTCAGAGATAGAACACAACAAAACTAGCAAAACAAAATCAATAGAATGATTCCTAATGACATTCCACTACACTCATAAATCAGTGCCTAGCTCAATTATCCCAAAGAGACTTCATCTAGCAACTGATGGGAACAAATGCAGAGACCCATAGCCGAACATTAGGCAGAGGTCGAAGAACCCTGCAGAAAAGGGGAAGGAAGGATTTTCGGAGCCAGAAGAGTTAAGGACACCATCAGAATACAGAATCAACTAGGCAGGGTTCATAGGGGCTCACAGAGACTGAAGTGACTATCTGAGCGCCTGCATGAGTCTGTGCTAGGTCCTCTGCATTTATATTACGGATGTGTAGCTTCCTATTCTTGTGAGACTCCAAACAGTGGAAATAGGGTTGTTTCTGACTCTTTTGCCTACTTGGGAGACCCTTTTCCTCTTCCTGCATTGCCTTGTCCAGCCTTGACATGAGGGTTTGTGTCTAGTCTTATTGCATCTTGTTATTTTATGTTCAGTTGATATCCCTGGAAGGACTGTTCCTTTCTAAAATGAAAAGGAGGAATGCATCTGAGAGGGAGATGGGGGATGACTGGGAAGAGTAAGGGAGGTGAAACTTCAGTCAGGATGTATTGTATGAGAGAAGAATAAAGAAAAAAGAAAAAAAGTTTGGCTTCATGGTTTTCAACTTTGTTGATGGTGCAAAAACATTAAATAATTCTTAGAATTTGAGTTTTGTCCAAACTAGTTATATGTTTTATGACACTGTGCCACAGTGCTGGGAGGTGACAGGGAGTCAAAGATACCAATCAACCAGAAGGCCACTAAAGGAAGCAGCTGATACTCTACAAAGGCTTGCTTTGCTGAACTATACTTTTCACTCTTTCATTTCTATTTAATGTATCTTCCTTTAGGGTATCTCTAAACGTACAATAACTATTCACAATAAAAACACCACTGTAAGTCAAGGAACACATCAGAAATATTTGTTCAGTGCAGATAGAATGCTAAGATATGAATTGATACACCACAGTCTATAACCATGATGATCTACAAATGAATACCCTCTGCTAATTCAGAGCAAACACTCTCTAAAAATACAAATAAAAGGGGAGGACCTTAGGAGCACAGGGGTTAAGGACACCATCAAAACAAGCCTTGCAATATGAGGAGACCTTGGCCCACAAGTGTTGAGCTACATTATTCTGAGATCCTGTGATTGAGGTGGATAAAAATTTGGTATCCTACCAGGGCTTATTCTCATTCCTCACCATAATGTGGCTGTCATCCGGGATCCTCTAGGATTGCTCATTTTCAATAAAGCAAAATTACTTGCTGTTCCTTTGTCTTGAGGGTAAAGAGGAAACAGACTGAGTCCTGAAGAAAATGGAACTTACCATCAAGTAACATTTTGGCTGCCATGGCGGTTGGTAACCCCACAGTTTTAGCCATTGCAGAAAAGCCATTGGAATCTCCATAAACTACAAGGTCGATGATCTTATTTTCTAAATGTCCAGAAGGATATCTGATGCCAAAACTGTCTCTCATCACAATCATATCTTTTTCTTCGGGGCCTTAAGATAAATGCAAACATTCTAAATCATCATCACAACTTAACTATTATTGTATTTTGCCTTTCTGCCCTTTTCCAAAGTTTCCCATCTACTTACATATGATCATTAGATAACAATTTAGGATGCTTTTTGACATAGGATGTCTCTCTGTATGCTGTGAATATGTGTTGCTCTTATCAGTTGATAAATAAAGCTGGTTTGCCCAGTGGCTTAGGCATATCACTGACTAGCTCTCACATTTAAATTAACCCATATTTACTAATTTGTGTATTACCATATGGCTGTAGCTTATCAGTAGGTAATACTCTATCATCTTACTTCTATCATGACTCCATGGTGTCTCCCTGACTCCACCTTCTTTGTCTCCATATCTTTGTTTGGAATTCCTGCCTAGCTATATTCTACTTTGCCATTGGCCATAACAACTTTATTCATCAACCAATAAAAGCAACACATATTTACAGCATATGGAAGGATGTCTTTTTACCCAAAGATCAGTGAAAACTTCAAAGAAATGAAAACTTGGACCATATTCCTTTTTCAGTATTGAGCAGCAGACAAGGAAGAGAGAGACACTTGCTCCCCAAAATACCACTTTGATATTTACCCAATAAATTAAATAAAAAGCTTTTTTTTCCTTCCTGTAGTTCCTGGATTCATCACTTCATAGCAATTTTTCTATTATTGCCTCAGACCAGTGCCCTTTCCCTCTTCTCAGATCTCTCTTTTCCTATTGCATGATTGCTGCTCTCGAAACCAATTCCTTGGCCTTGTGACTCTTCTTCAGCAATGAAAACCCATGACATACCATAGGAGAGTCTTGAGACCAAGTGCTTGGAGAATGCATCCACAAGGGACTCTGCCTGAGGGACTTGCTCATCCCCCAATAAGCCCAACCTGAAAAGCACAAGTGTTGCTGTTAGTTCACAGCCTATACATGCTCTTCTCTGGGGAGTACAAAAGAGCCCCTGGGCTCTTAGGAGTCAACTCAAAAGTTCTAAAATTCACCTAAACTGAGAAATGATAGTAATAGGAATGCCTTGGCTTCAGGATCTCCCCAGCTTTCCTGAGACACTGCTTCATAGAGCAGAACAGAGAGGATATATTGCAAGTTCAAGTTTTATGACATTTAAGCTAACTTACAGATTAGTTGACTCACATTAATGAATAATATACCATAGTCACATGAATGAATATTCTGCTGTCACTGGAGAAATACTCAGAGAAATACTACTTTATCCAAGAACAGATGAGAAAATGCTTCAAAATAGACATTTTCTAGGTCATAATTACCATCAGGTTTCTTCACTTATCAACTTTTTTTAAACCTAATATAAACACAATACATTATAATCTCCCTAAAGCCAACTAATGAGCATTAAACAGCTAGTTAATCAAATATAAATACCAAATTGTGGTGTGTCATACCCTTTTTTTTATCAGAAAGGACTAAGTCATTAATCATTGGTCAATGTATTTTGATCTAAAGGAAAAGATGGGTATTTACCATTCAGCAGCCTCAAGTTGAGTACTGTCCCCTCCTAGCTTTGTGAAGACAGTTTCCTTAAGTTTCTCACATGAAGAGGAGCGGGAAATCCCAACTAGGTCGCACAGGAGCTGTTTCTGATTGGGAAAAGAAACATGGAAATTCTAAGGCCCTAAGGAGTAAAACTTCACTTATGAGAAAAATAAGTCTATCAAGAAATCAGAAATCTCGAACCTCAAAAGTTTGTTAGAAAACATTGAAACAGGCACAACTAGCCGAGGCTCCCATCCTGGTGGGAGTCAACCCACCCAGAGACTGCCAGCATCCTGGTCCTGTTCTCCGTCCACAGGAGTAGGTAGGCCTGGGTCTGTCTCTGGCCCACCTTCCAGTGCCCTGCAGGCAACCAGCTGTGCCCTGGGGACTGCACACTGTGCATCCCGTCCTAACGGGAATCAGCCCACACAGCGACTGCCAGCATCCAAGTCCCATTCTCCATCCATGAGACAGGGGAGGTAAGCTTGGGCCTGTTTCCAGCCCGCCTTCCTATGCTCTGCACTGAACCACTGGAGACTGGAGGCCTAGGGACTGCACACTGCAGATCCCATCCCAACGGGATTCAGCCTGCACAGAGACTGCCAGCACAATAGTCCCTTTCTCCACCCACAGGAATAGGTAGGCGTGGACCTGTTTCCAGCCTACCCTCTGGTGCTCTGTACACATCTAGCCAAGGCCAGGGGACTGCACACTGTGGCTCCTATCCTGGAGGGAGTCAACCCACCCAGAGACTGCCAGCATCTTGGTCCCTTTCTCCACAGGAGTAGGTACGCCTGGGCTTGTCTCTAGCCCACTTCCCAGTGCCCTGCAGGTAACCAGTTGTGAACTGGGGACTGCACACTGAGCATCCCATCCCATCAGGAGTCAGCCTGCCTAGAGACTGCCAGGATCTAAGTCCCATTTTCCACCCACGGGACAGATGATATAAGCGTGGACCTATTTCCAGCCTGCCTTTTGGTGTCCTGAGCATAACCACTGAAGACTTGGAGACTGTGCACTGCAGATCTCATCATGACAGGGTCTAGCCTACCCAAAGACGGCCAAGGCCTTGGTACTAGGGCAGCCTCCATACACGCAAGAGGAGAGCCACCAGAATATTTGACCTGCTTGCACCCACCAAAAGGGAAACATGGTCACCTATCCTACACCCACTGGAAGAAGTGATGGGAAGGAGACAATATAAAAACACACTCAACAACAGAAACACCAGTATGACACCGCCAGAGTCCAGAGACTCTATGTCAGCAAGACTTGAACACCACAATACAGATAAAGTAGAAGAGAATGACCTTAAAAACGACTTCATGAAAAAGATAGAAGCCCTCAAAGAGGATCTGAGAAAAATCCCTTAAAGAAATGGGAGAAAAAACAAACCAAAAAATGCAAGAAATGGAAGAAAAAGCAAACCAAAAAATACAAAAAATGGAGGAAAAGACAAAGCAAAACTTACAAGAAACAATTCAAATAGTGAAAGGGTTGAAAGCTGAAATAGAAAACAGTCTGAAGGAATGCTGGAAATAGAAAACCTGGGCAAACAGTCAGGTATTACAGGTGCAAGCATAACCAACAAAATACAAGAGATGGAAGAGAGAATCTCAGGTGTTGAAGCTACACTAGCAGAAATAGTTTCACCGACCAAAGAAAATCTTAAGTCCAACAAATCCCTAACACAAAGATTGAGGAAATATGAGACACCGTGAAAAGACCAAACCTAAGAATAATAGGTATAAAAGAAGGTGAAGAAAGCCGGGCGGTGGTGGCGCACTCCTTTAATCCCAGCACTCGGGAGGCAGAGGCAGGCGGATCTCTGTGAGTTCGAGGCCGGGCTGGACCGATAACCTCCAAAACAATACAGAGAAACCCTGTCTCGTAAAAAAAAAGGGGGGGGGCAGAAAACATATTCAACAAAATTATAGAAGAAAACTTTCCCAACCTAAAGAAAGACATGCCAATGAAGGTACAAGATTCTTACAGAACACAAATAGTGGACCACAAAAAAAATAATCCCCTCAACACATAATAATCAAGACCCAAAATATACAGAATAAAGAAAGAATATTAAGAGCACTTAAGGAAAAAGGTCAAGTAACATACAAAGGCAAACCTATAAGAATTACACTTGACTTCTCCATGGAAACTCTGAAAGCTAGAAGGTCCTGGATAGATAATCTACCAACATTAAGAGACCACAGATGCCAGCCCAAACCACTATAACCAGTAAAGCTTTCAATCACACTAGATGGAGAAAACAAGATATTCCATGATAAAACCAGATTTAAACAATATGTATCCACTAATCCAGCACTACAAAAGTTTCTGCAAGGAAAATGCTAACCCACAGAAGTTAACTACAACCAGAAAAACATAATCCCACTTTACCAACAGCCAAAAGAAAAAGGGGGTGAAAATCCACCCACAATTCCACCAACAACAACTCCAAAACAGACAAAAATGAGCAATGTTCATTAATATCCCTCAATATTAATGGTCTTAACTTGCCCATAAAAAGACACAGTTCTAACAGAATGGATTCGAAGACAGCATCCATCATTCTGCTGCATACAAGAAACACACCTCACTTTCAAAGACAGACATTACCTCAGAGTTAAGGGTTGGGAAAAGATTTTCCAATCACATGAACACAAGAAACAAGTGGGGGTAGCAATCCTAGTAGCTAACAAATTGGACTTCAAACTTAAATCAATATTAAGAGATGAAGGAGTTCATTTCATACTCAACACAGGAGAAATCCACCAAGATGAAGTCTCAATCCTGAACATGCATGCCCCAAATACAAAGGCATCAATGTTCATAAAAGAAACATCACTAAAACTCAAATAACATAAAATTTCACACACTTATAGTGGGAGAGTTCAATACCCCACTCTCACCACTAGATAGGACCACCAGACAGAAACTTAATTAAGAAGCAAAGGAACTAATAGAAGTTATGACCCAATTGGGTTTAACAGACATCTATAGAACATTTCATCCAAACACTAAATATTATACCTTATTCTCAGTGCCACAAGAAACTTCTCAAAAATCCACCACATACTCAGCAACATATCAAACCTCGACAGGTAAAAAAAAATTGGAATAACTCCATGTATCTTATCAGACCACCATGTGTTAAAGTTAGAATTCAACAACACAAATTGCAGAAAACCTACAAACTCATGGAAGTTGAATAATGTGCAATCACCATTCCTGGGTCAAAGAAGAAATTAAAAAAAGAAATTAAAGACTTCCCAGAATTCAATGAGAATGAAGACACAACATACCCAACCTTATGAGGCACTTTGAAAGCAGTGCTAAAAAGAAAGTTCATACCACTAAGTGGCCACATGAAGAAACTGAAGAATAGTCACACTAGAGAATTAACAACAAAAATGAAAGCTCTAGAGCAAAAAGAAACAAACTCACTCTGGAGGAGTAGATGGAAGGAAATAATCAATTTGACGGATGAAATCTATAAAGTAGAAACTAGTAAAACAATACAAAGAATCAATGTAATGAAGAGTTAGTTCTTTGAGAAAAGCAACAAGATAGACCAACCTTTATATAAACTTACCAAATGGCAGAGTGTGAACATGCAAATTAAGAAAATCAGAAATGAAAAGGGGGACATAACAACGGACACTGAGGAAATCCAGAGAATCATCAGGTCATACTTTGAAAACCTGTACTCCACAAAATTCGAAAATTTAAAAGAAATGGACAACTTTCTGAATAGATATCATTAGCCAAAATTAAATCAAGAACAGATAAGCAAGTTAAATAGACTTATAACCACTAATGAAATAGAAGCAGTCATCAAAAGCCTCCCAACGAAAAAAAGCCCAGGTCCAGGTGGCCTCAGTACAGAATTCAACCAGAAATTCAAAGAGCATCTTGTACCAATTCTCCTCAAAGTATTCCATGCAATAGAAAAAGGGTTTTTGCCAAACTCTTTTTATGAGGCTTCAATAACCTTGATAACAAAGCCACACAAAGATACAACTAAGAAAGAGAACTTCAGACCTATATCCCTCATGAACATTGATGCAAAAAAATACTCAATAAAATACTGGCAAATCAGATCCAAGAACACACCAAAACAATCATTCACCACAATCAAGTAGGTTTCATCCCAGGGATGCAGGGATGATTCAACATACAAAAATTCATCAATGTAATCCATCATATAAACAAGCTGAGAAACAGAAATCACATGTTCATCTCAATAGATGCTAAAAAAGCCTTTGACAAAATCAAACACCCCTTCATGATAAAGGTCTTGGAGGGATACAGAATAACAGGAGCATATCTAAACATAATAAAAGCTAGATACAGTAAACCAACAACCAATGTCAAACTAAATGGACAGAAACTCAACATGATACCTCTAAAATCAGGAACAAAACATGGCTGTCTACTTTCTCCATATCTCTTCAATATTGTACTTGAAGTTCTAGCTAGAGCAATAAGACAGCAAAAGGAGATCAAGGGGATACAAATTGGAAAGGAAGAGATCAAACTTTCACTATTTGCAGATGATATGATAGTTTACATAAGTGATCCAAAAAAACTTTACCAGGGAACTCATATAGCTGATAAATACCTTCAGCAAAGAGGCAGAATACAAGATCAACTCAAGAAAATCAGTAGCCCTACTATATACAGATGATAAAAGGGCTGAAAAAGAAATCAGAGAAACATCACCCTTTACAATTGCCACAAACAACATAAAATACCTTGGGGTAATGCTAACCAAACAAGTGAAAGACCTGTATCACAAGAACTTTGAGTCTTTAAAGAAAGAAATTAAAGAAGACACCAGAAAGTGGAAAGATCTCCCATGCTCTTGAGTAGCTAAGATCAATGTAGTAAAAATGGCAATCTTGCCAAAAGCAATCTACAGATTCAATGCAATCCCCATTAAAATATCAGCACAATTCTTCACAGACCTTGGAAGAACAATTCTCAACTTTATACAGAAAAACAAAAGGCCCAAGATAGTCAAAACAACCCTGTCCAACAAAGCAATGTCCGGAGGCTTCACCATCCCTGAATTCAAGCTCTATTATAGAGCTATAGTCATGAATCAGCTTGGTATTGGCACAAAAATAGATAGACCAATGGAATTGAGTTGAACACCCTGATATTAACCCACACCTGATCTTTAACAAAGAAGCTAAAATTATACAATGGAAAAAAGATAGCATCTTCAACAAATGGTGCTGGCATAACTGGATGCTGGCATGTAGAAGACTGCAGATAGATCCATGTCTATCACCTTGAACAAAACTTAAGTCCAAATGGATCAAAGACCTCAACATAAATCCAGCCACACTGAACCTCTTAGCAGAAAAAGTGGGAGGTACTCTTGAACGAATTGGCACAGGAGACCGCTTCCTGAGCATAACTCCAGTAACACAGACACTGAGATCGACAATTAATAAATGGAACCTCCTGAAACTGAGAAGCTTCTGTAAGGCAAAGGACACAGTCAACAAGATAAAAAGGCAGCTCTCAGAATGGGAAAAGATATTCACTAATCCCACATCTGAGTGAAGGCTGATCTCCAAAATTTACAAAGAACTCAAGAAGCAAGTCTTCAAAACACCAAAGGATCCAATTAAAAAGTGGGATACAGAACTACATATAGAATTCTCAATAGAGGAGTCTAAAATGACAGAGAGACACTTAAGAAAGTGCTCAACATCCCTTGCTATCAGGGAAATGCAAATCAAAGCAACTCAGATATATCATCTTACTCCTTTCAGAATGACTAAAATCTAAAACACCAATGACAGTTTATGCTCGAGAGGATGTGGAGAAAGGGGAACACTCGTCCATTGCTGGTGGGAGTGCCAAATCATACAGTCACTTTGGAAATCAGTATGGAGATTCCTCAGAAAAGCAGAAATCAACCTACCACAAGATCCAGCAATTCCACTCTTAGGCATATACCCAAAAGATGCACATTCATACAACAAGGATATCTGTTCCACTATGTTCATAGCAGCATTATTTGTAATAGCCAGAACCTGGAAGCAACCTATGCCACTCAACTGAAGAGTGAATAGAAAAAAAATGTGGTACATTTACATAATGGAGTACTATTCAGCACAAAAAAATGGAATCTTGAAATTTGAAATTTGCAGGCACTGGAAGAAACCATCCTGAGTGAGGTAACCCAGTCACAAAAAGACAAACATGGTATGTACTCACTCATATATGGATTTTAGACATAGATCAGGGGAGTGACAGCCTACAATACCATTAACAGAGAGTCTGGGAAACAGAACCTTCATCCAGTGACTGATGGAAATAGAGGCAGACACCCAGAGCTAAACACTGAACTGATCTCTTGGAATCCAGTGAGAGAGAGAGCACTGATGAGTAAAGGGGTCAAGACTGGGCTGATTTAACCCACAGAAACAACTGCCCTGAACAAGCTCTTGGACCCCAGACTGATGACTGGGAGGCCAGCATGGGACTGATCCAGACCCCCTGAATGTGGGTGTTAGTGAGGAGGCCTAGGCAATCTTTGAGTATTTATCAGTATTTATCAATCTATCAGAATCAGTATTTAGCAATCTATCAGTATTTATCCCTGGCATACAAATGGACTTTTGGTGTCCATCCTACAATAAGGGATGCTCTCTCAACCTGGAGTCTTGGGGTAGGGCCTAGGCCCTGCCCTGGATGTAATGACAGACTCTGGAGATTCCCCCATGGAAGATCTAGGGAAAGGAGTGGGGATTGGGTCGGGGGCTGGGAGGCCTAGTGAGAAGGCAGGGGAAGAGGGGAGGAAGAGGGAGCTGGGATTGACATGTGAAACAAGCTTGTTTCTAATTTAAATGTAAAACAAAGAAAAAAAAGAAAATATTGAAATAGAAAATTAAAACATCAATTAAATTATATATGTGTATGAATACATACATATATGTATTCATGCATATCTATACATCACAAATGCATGGGATTCCAGAACTATATTTAACAATAAAAACCAGAAGCTAAAAAGGGGAAATATTAAAACACTTCCTGGTCATGTGTCTTCCCATCAGTTTTTCACTGATACTCCCCCCCACACACACAAACACCCCTCACATACCCTGTAGCAATCAATCTGTAGCAGGTTAAAGTACAAGAGACTTGCTGCTGTGGTTGCCAGTGGCAACCAGAGTTCTTTTGTAGCTTCAAAAAATGAGAAAGACCTCACAGGAAATCAAATTTCAAAAGAACACTTAAAAGAGTACCCATAGATTTTTCTTCTTTCTAAACAAAACTTTTTCCAGGGTCCTGGAAGGCAGCTAGACTCTAGATCAGAAGTCAACCAGTTGGTTCCCAGGCCCAATGTGGCTCACTGCCTGCTTTAGGAAAATAGAAGTTTACTCAAGGTGTACCCAATGTGTATATACATTTTCTATGGCAGTACTAGATTGCTTTTGCAGAGAATGCTTTGCACGCAAAGTCTAAAATGTTTATAATCTGATGTTGTGCAACAAATTAATCACTTGTGTTCTACACAATAACTAACAGCATCCTGGGAGATGCAGAAGGACAACCTCCTGCGACAGCCACTGGTGAGTCCTAAATTCCCACGACTTGGGTATGACACAGAAATGTCTAAACCTCAGTAACAAACTTATTACTCATGATCATAAATGGCCCAACGAGAGGACTGGCAAAACTCATGCCAGCATCCTCCCAAATAGCACACTCAATGGGTCCAAATGACCTATACAGCTGGAAAATCACAGAGTGTAAAACCAAGAGTGCAGACATCTCCTTCCAGAGCTCAGGTAGAAGAGCCTGTGAAGTGAGTGCAGAGCAGGCCAGGCACGTCAGCCCATCAACTTCTCCACCCACCCTAAGGGCGGAAGGGGGAGGAGATGTTCCAAGGACTCTTCACTATACATCAGCCTCAGAAGGAACACTCGAATTCTTTTGAGTTCTGTGCAAAGCCGAGCTCTCACTGGGCCATCTCATAAGTGCTTGTGCAGCAGATAGCACAGAATTCTGGAGATACTCACCCAGGTGAGAGGGTTGGCCTCAGGTCGAAGAGCAGGATATGCTTCTCTGTTGATGAGACCCAACTTTACAAATCCATTAAGAGCTTTGGAGTATCCCTGAAGCAAGAATTAATAAGCAGCAAATGAATATTATCCCTTTAAGGACAAATGAATTTTTAGCTATTTTTTGAAGGAGGGTCTATATTTACAACTAATTAATTTTTAAGAGGGTTTTTATCTTTATAGTTTATTTGGAAATAATCTTCATTGCTGATATGGGAATCAATATTAACAGTGTCATAATTCAATTGGTTTACATGAAAGACTGTAAATGGGTCCTTTTTCATTTTCTCAGTACTATGTTGTATGGTGTGTTCTGGCAACATAAGGGCTAGTTTCCTGGTGAATTATATAATGCAGTTTAACAGAAAGGTATTCAACAGGACAGTAATATTTTAATCTTTCTTTTGTATGATGTTTTCTTTTTATGAGCTAAGGATCACATTCAGGGCCTTGTGTGTGCTAGGAAAGCAATCCATCAGCTTAGCTTCTATCTATTTTGCTTTCTTGTGATGGGAGGAATAATGATCCATGCTCCCCTAAAAGCAGAGAACTCATCCTACAGTGAAGATCTAGGTATGTATAGAATATGGGGCAGGATGCTACCTGGTACTCATTTTGAACATATCTACAATATTTCAAGTGTGATCAATTGAAGTTTCTATTTTGTGTTTAAGAAAGCATTTCAGATTTGCTTTTAGAAAGTCCATCCAACCCTGTCACTTATCCCAGCCTTAGTCCACGTGTTTCATATGATGCTAACCCCATCATAAGCTCTGGAGACATAGAGGACACTAACCTCAAAAATAAATCACAGCTAACAAGACAAGATTTACATGTTTAGATATTATAGAAAGGAACAGTTTGTCACTCACAGTGAATTTGAACATAATAGACCATAATAGGAAGCTGGAACTAACTTGGTAGTGTGGGAACCTGAGACCACTGTAATGTTGTAAGGCCAAGAAATGCAGTGTTCAAATCTAGTTATACCTAAAGCTGACCTCCTACCTGCACCCAATCCCTGTCAATTAATTCACTATTTGAGTTGTGTCTTCTAACACTTTACTAAAACGATTTTTTTATTTAACCAGTAAACTATGTTGGAGACAGAATGTCATAGCTGCAAAGTGGGCACAGAATAAGCAGCAGTTGAGTGTTCAGCCCAAAATAAGACATTTATACCATTTCATGGAACATTACAGAAAAAAGAAAGACTATAAGAGCTGGAGGGCCGGGAGAAGAGAAGAGAAATGCCATATTCTAAATAATACACAGTCATCGCAATTATGAACTCTCAACAGCTGTGTATGACTACAGTGTATATGCATCAGCAACCAGGCAAGGGTGGCGCAGGAACTCAGAGAACTGAGCCCCTCATTGCTTAACAATTTCCTATGGATAGAGTCAAGAAAATGGGGAAGTTCATTACCTTCAGTTTGCACCTAAGGACTAGTACCAATTCAGTGATCAGACAAATAGCCCTCATCAAACTAAACAGGTCATACAACAAAACTTATTCACAAACCTTGGAAAGAGAAAGGTAGGGAAAAGGGGTCAGTAAGTGGGGAGGAGGGTGGGGGTGACAAGAGCTTGTAGGATAAAGAGTAACCAGAATGCATTATATAATTTGCTTATATAATTAACTTAATAATACCTAACTTATTTTCTGAAAAAATACATTCCAACTTGGTTTCAAATTTTATTAGAAGAAAATAAGCATGTATACTCTACTACCAATCTATCAAAACTATCAACGTGTTTAAAATACAGCACTTACCTTATATCTAAGTGTTCCCCTCAAAAATGTATGGGCAGATGGAATTCCATAAATTTCAGCGTATCTTGTACTATCTCTGTTAGGATAGCCTTCCAAGTTCAGGCCTGGGAAGTAATCCATGGGTGTGACAGAGTCCAGAAAAGAGACTCCCCCTGTCACATTCACAACCTGATGAAGATTGAAAAATAGCTGGGACTCACAACAGTTTGTTTCTTCTGGGTTTATCTGCATTAATTATACAAAGGAATCTAACAGAGCTTTGAAAAACATTAATGAAACATGATTGATATCAAGCCTGCTATTAGCTAAGCTGTTCCTCTTAGAATAACTTGCAGGCTTTCCCCCCAAACTTCCAAATCCTAATACATTTTATTTTCTAAACGAAAGTCTTGTTTCAATTGACTCTTGCCCCTGGTTAAAATAGTATTGTGCCGCATTAGGGGTTGCTTTGTTTGCTTTGCTTTGCTTTTTTTGTAAGCATTAGGTATGCATTCGATGGCTTGTATGGTCTGATAGCAATGACAATATTCTTTCCTTTATTCTCACCTCTTCTGAATACATCAGGCACTAGTCTTGCACTTTTCATTTACCCAACTATCATTTATTGAATACTCATTATGTAAGTCCCAGAGATGATACAAATTATAGAGAGAATAAGGAAGACAATGAATAGGATGCAGTTCACATCTTCTGTTCACTCTTTGTTCATAGGGAAAACATTTGCTGAACGTTCAGCAATCACCAGTGACTGCATAAAACCTGAAGCACATGTTGGGGGGTATGCAGAAGAGGCAGCAGAAGGAAGACCTTCACAACAGAGACAATGCCAAGACTATACAATGAAGCTCAACTGCAACTTTCTGCTGGTGAAAAGCCAAGTCCTGATTGCCTAGAGCACCGTACCCCTCCAGAGCACACATTCAAAGTGCAAGGAGGCACTGTTTTGTCTTTAAAGTATTGCATTTCCTCTTAGAGTTTGGAGTCTGTGGTTGTCCTTGAGATAATGGAAAACATTCTGGAATGATAAAATTAGGGCTGAGGCTGCTGTCAAGCTGGACTTCACCCTGCTGGAAACAACTGGACCCTGTTTGCAAAGCTGCACAAGCCAAGACTGCAGGAGGCAGTTGCCAGGGTTCACAGGGATTTCCCCCAAAGGAAAATGGGCTAAATGCAAATGGTGCCCAGAATACATTTATGGATGAGCTCACCTGTATTGAGGGGTAAGAGAGAAAATGGAAAGTAATTTGCACACAGCCAAGGGTCCAGAAGGGAATGATTACAGAGTACTCAGGATGGGTGCACTGAAGTCTTTTCAGTTGAAAAGATCACTTGCAGTACACCTTCTAGAATCTCTCAGAAAGAATCCAAAGAATGTGAAGAATGCTTCCCAGTTAATTTTCTCCCAGCCCCTTCTTTAGACTGTATTGAACTTCTTCTAATAGGATTCTAGTTTCAAACACAGCCTAATAAAGAAGCCACATGCAGGGTCTCTGTACCCATCACACTTCTGTAACCTACAGCAATTCTAAAGTGCTGCTTCTTCAACTGAAGAGCAGGACAATTTTTAAAGAAAAGCCCTTGCCAGGCACTGTAGTGAAAACCTATAATCCCAGAGTTTGGGAGTTTGCAACAAGAAAATTGCTAAAAGTTCAAGACCAAGCTAGACTATATATTAAGGCCCTATATAATAAAAAATAATAAAGAAAAATACCAACTTTAAAATAAATCAGCTAGTTTCACAAAATCAGATAGTTTAAACTGACTTTTAGTGATTTACTTAGAGAAATTAATGGACCTGATCCCAAATTAGCAGTATGGGTATGGAGGAACTAAGAGTTAGACAGATTCCCTAGTAGGCACACTGATAGGGAGAAGGGACACAACCAGGTAATAATGATTTGAACTTCCGAGATAGCTGGCTTCTTCTCTTCAGGATGCCGGCTTCTTCATCTTCCACCTGACCTGAGACAAAAGCCTGAAAGATTAAAACCTGATGAACTTTTCTCTCACTACTAGCCCTCTCCTCAAGAAGAGACTGCTGGTCTCTCTCTCTCTCTCTCTCTCTCTCTCTCTCTCTCACACACACACACACACACACACACACACTTTGCTGAGGGTTCTTCTCTGTGCCTTGTTCTGTGTGTACTCTGTGACTTGCTGTGTGTGTGGTTCCATGCCACTAATAAAATCCTTTCTTCACCAGTTATTTCTGTCTGCTGCATTTCAATTTTTTCCCTTCTGCTATCTATTGCACTTGAGGTTTTTCCTGCCTTTTAATTATTTAACTGGCAAAGAAAATGAACCAATCTAGATCCCTCCATAGTAACACTTCTCACCAATTGATAAACAGCTGACAATCCCCACATCCTGGGTTCAAAAATAAGCCCTATCTAGTTCAATATTCTATTACGAACTTTGATGAAGACATTAAAAATTCATCTATCCATTTTGCAAAGGAAATGTGATTCTCTCTGCTTAGACAATGCTCGAGCCCCAGACCCACCCTCAACAGAAGCACAGCTCATTATATGTTGTGATTGCAGGCCAATTCTTTTTCACATACACATCACCCAACCAATGAGAATCACAGGCATTTTAAAATAAATACTCAAATACACAAAATAAGTGAAGAAGCAGCCTGCCTCCATCTTGGACTTGGAAGCCATCTTATAGTAATGACAAACTGGGTTCATTCCTGTCTATGATTAAATTTCTGTTTCTCAAGGATTGCACTATGCCTCACTTGTAACCTTAGCTACAAATGGCTCTGTGCTGCCTGTTCTAAGAGACTGCCACCATGCTTTTGTTTCAAAAAATTATAACTATCTTGCAATCCCTTGTTGTAACTACCTGTTGTTATAACCATCTTATTATGAGCACCTTGCAGTCATGTCTTTGTTTGAGAAGGTTTTGACTACCTTGTTATGCTTATGTTCTGCTCCTATAATTAGTTTAGCCAGGATGATTTTGGGTCAATGGTCTTTCTCCTTGGATCTTTGGGATTAATCACTACACTAATAAAGAAATTTAGCACAGCAAATGTACAGACTGTCATCTACTTGGGACCCTCAGTCTTCCTGTGTTTTATGTGCTTACTTTGAACCCATGTATAAACAGGATGGGAGTCACACAGAAACAGATCTGAGCCTGTCCACCTGAGCCACTGCGGGCATACTTTCTACTGTATCACATGATCATCTTCTTTTTGTTTATTTCTGGAGCAATACTTCCAAAAGGATACTGACACGGTACAGTATCGAGGTTCCCCCATACAAGTACATCTTCCAAAAGGTGTGCTAGAGTGGCCACGGGGCCTGGAAGCAATTCGTAACTCTTGATTTTCTAAAAGGGAGGAGGGGCCTGCTTCCCACATGTATTGATTTCCCACTTTTCATGGGAATTGGACCACCATCTATGAAGCAATGGAACTAAGAGAAGACTCGTCACTGCCTCCAGACACATGGGACGCAGTCAGATTTGCTAGGGGTCAGAACAGCACCAGTGACTAGAACTCCCAAGAACGAAGGGTAATGCGCTATGCTCTAATTCATAGGCTCTTTTCTAATTACTAGAAAAGTTTCAGGCTTAAAGCCAGAAACGGAGAGGTCTTCACCATCTTGGTTCTGTAAATTTTGTACGGCCAGCTCTGTGGCTGAGGGTGACAGTGGCAGAGGGGATGGTGGCAGAGGAGACTGGAGGGCAAGAACATGAGAGGCGTTTTTAAGAAGTTTGACAATAAAGACTAGGGAACAGAGCTATAGACTTGAATCACTGAAAATTCTTAGACACAGACAATCCGCGTACCTGAGTGTCAGACACTCTGATTGAGTTCACACAAAAGAACAGTGAACAAAGGCTGGAGTGGCTAAGAAACTCTACAAGAGGAAATCTGAACAAGACCTTGAAAAAGTATCATTTTAGCGGAGAAAAGAGAAGCACCATGTTTTTCTCTTCAGATCTCACAGTGTCAGAAAAATGCAAGAAAGCCCTCCATTTTAAAAAGCAAGTTCAGGATGAAAAGTTGGTGTGGACGGTGGGGGGGGTCGGGGAGACACTTCAAATTCAACAAATACAACTTCTGCTGCCAGAAGTAACTTGTTGCTTTTCCTGGGCTCTCAGGCTCTCAGGAGTAATGACTTCTTTCTTTCTTTCTTTCTTTCTTTTTTTTTTTTTTTGGTTTTTTCGAGACAGGGTTTCTCTGTGGCTTTGGAGCCTGTCTGGCACTCACTCTGTAGACCAGCCTGACCTCGAACTCACAGCGATCCACGTGCCTCTGCCTCCTGAGTGCTGGGATTAAAGGCGTGCGCCACCAACGCCCGGCTCTGAGTTCTTTCCAAGCTAGTATTTGCCAATAAGTCCACTGTCAGGCAGATCACTATCTACATGGCTTCACTAATTCACACAACAAGAAGGCTGCAAAGTGTCACACAGTGGTGATGCAGGCCTTTGTTCCCAGCACTCAGGAGCAGAGACAGGCAGATCTCTGTAAGCTGGAGGCCAGTCTGATCTACAAAGCAAATTCCAGGACAGCCAGAGCTGTCTCAAACAAATAAATAGTAGGAAGGAAGGAAGGAAGGAAGGAAGGAAGGAAGGGAGGGAGGGAGGGAGGGAGGGAGGGAGGGAGGGAGGGAGGGAGGGAGGGAGGGAGGGAGGGAGGGAGGGAGGGAGGAAGGAAGCTGCAATGTGGCTATTATTATCCTTGCTTTCAGACAAGAAACTAGTAGCAGGGTTAGAACACAAAGCCAGGCTTCTGATGTTGCTGCCTCGATTGTCCCTGAAGGTATGTGCCACTGACGGACTCTTGAATTCTTGTCTTTCTCATACTTTATATGACCTCCTCAACACAAACACCACAATCAATGGGAGCAGACACTTTTCCAGCCTTTGCATATTACTCTATACCAAACAGGAGCCAGACAGATTGCAAAAGGTGAGCGGGGCTGTTGCCACACAAAGGGAGACAGGCTGAGGCACATGAAGGAAGTGTGACTGGTAGGATATCAGGCTAAGACTCAGGCCCAAACCTTGCTGAGTCACAAGACCTCAAAACAAGATGGAATGCCAGTGCTCCGTCACACAGCAGAGCCTGATGCCTGGCGGACTTTACCCTGGCCTGGCCTCTGGAAACACTATGAAAGATGCCAGCGTGTGCACCAGAACTCGGCAGCGCCTTTCTCATCCTAACGCATCCCCCCTAAAACACCCTGCCCGATTAGTAGTGTTTGACAAAGCTGTGATCCTCTGATTACTAAGTCATTTGTTCTTGAGTTCAGCTGCTTGTTAAAAATCACTAGGTGAGCTTTGAAAATTCTCCATAGCAAACAAAATCCTAAACTGGGTTTAGGCATCCATACTTTCCAAACTTTCATTATGATTCATTCAATGTGAAACAGTCATATCTTTGAGTCATGCTGATATCACAGGCCTAAGTGACCAAGGCTGATAGAACACTCATCTTGTTTTGTAGGAAATCCTATCAAATACAAACTACTTGATTGCTAACGATATTCACCATAGTATGAACTACCTTCCTCCTAGCTAATGGTAATTTTATAGCCCCTGGCAAATCTTTCCTCATTCCTCTCTCCCTGAATATTTAGATTCACAAATAAAGTGAAAATTTATACTATGAATGTTAGGAAAAAATCTTTTTAATATAGATCTGAATGCATTCTTTATCCTAAAGGACCAAAACTGGAACAAGGTAAGGGAGATGCCTAGGATACCAGATTCACAGAAGAACCCTCAGTCTTGATACATTTTCTTCCCAAATGTGAGTCCTCCCTTACAGTTAGAAGAACACAAAGATGGTCAGCTATAATGTTGATGCCTCCTGTGCCCCTTGCATTCTCTAACTGTAGCTGTGTTATGTGTCTTACTCCACCTATCTTCCGTTTTATAACTGTGCTCCATCATGAAGGACAGTTCTCCATCCTGGATGGTGCATTCTATTCCTTCAAGGACCAGCGCATCCTCTTTAGTTACACTCTACTCCCCAGCCTCAATCTCTTCACACAGGCTAGACAACTGAACTCTTGTCTATAGGTCTGTTGCAAATTATATTTTTGGAAATTGTTCCTCGGGATTATAGTTATTTAATCCTGTTTCTAGCTACCCTAACACAAAAAAGTGAATCTGATAAAACAAATTACTTTGGAGGAGTTACGAGCACTGGTTACTAAGCCTTAGGATCTGGGTTTGAACCTACATAGTAAGAGAAAATGAGCTCCCACAAGCTGTTCTTATCCTCTAGATGTCCACATGACTTGCACAGGTATGGATGTACATGCACACACACACACAAAATAACTTGATGTAAAAATAATTTTAAGAGTGTTGTAGTTAGTTGAAACCAGGGTTGAGTCTCAGATGGTGACCTTAGCCATCCTCTCCATACCTAGATCTCATTATTATAAAATAGTGAAAATAATGTTAACACTGTTAAATAGCATATGGGCAAGAAATATCAGCTTCATTCTCTGATGCTCCAAATCTCCCATGCAAAGGGGCACTTTGTAGCCACGAATTCTCTGAAATCGAGAATGTCAGTCACTTAGTATAACTATCTTTGGTGCCTATTTCAAAGTCTAACTCAGTTCGTGTCATATTGAAATTACTTGAAAGATAACCAGCTTTTGTATATGGAAGTAAGGTAGGAAACACATTTTCAGAAGCAGCCAAGAAGGAAGAATGAACACAGGATTGGTTGAAAGAAATCAAGGTGACCTTCATTAAATGGAAAAGGAAAATATACACTGAGAGATAGCAGAGGAGACGAGGGAGAGCAGGTAGCATAGCAGCCTTAGACAACACTGCTGTTGGGGGAAAAGGTTAAGAATCCGTCTAGCCACCACTGAAAGTGTTTATCTCTCAAGTTTCCATGATTCTCCCTTACCTTTCCATTGAGCAGATAGCTAGCTGGTTGCATTATGTTCATCAAGACACCCACTGGACTCCAGCTGAATTTATATCGCAAGGGATTGTCTGAATATTCAGGGGCTGGAAGGCCACCACAGTAGGAAATATAAGACTCAATCTATAAATAAGGGATAAATGAAGAAGAATCAACAATATTAAAAAGAAATATTATTTAATTTGCTAATCAGGGTTAATGGTATAAATCTGGTGAATGTGCTATCATTATTATGTTTTGAAGTATTGAGGCTTTCAAATAAATACTTATTAACACAGGGCCACCACACATATATATGAAAATGTATATATATGAACATATATATGTATGATATAAAGCTCCGCTAGAGATAATGGCTAAAATTTTATTCACTTAAAATTCCGCTATTAGAACTGGAGAGACAGGATCATGCTAAAGGGTGTCTGCTGCACTTGCAGAGGACCAAGTTTGGTCTCCAGCACCCATGCTGGGCAGCTAACAATTTCCTATAACTCCAGCTAGTCTCAGAGAACCCAGCATGCTCTCCTGACCTCTGAGGGCATCACACACATGCAAAGATACATACATGCATAAATGGAAGTGAGAAGTCTTTAAATGAATAAATTAAAATAAATTATACTATTAATTCACTTCTTGGTTCATTCTTACAATTTTTATATTCAAAGGCATACATACATAGTATATGCTTTTGAATATAAACACATATGTATAAATACATATATGTATATATGTGCCAAAAAATTAAAGCACTTAATTTGAGTGACTGTACCTACATATACAATAATTCTCTGTCATGTGTAAATGCTTCATTAGTCAATAGACTGATATCCAAAGTTTTTTTCTCACTTTTAAATGTAAAACATCAAAGTATCTATCTCAAAGGCAAAAATTGTTATTAAACAAAGATATTATAGTATCATCTAACACTCAGTTACTAAGACTAAAGTTGTTGTTTGCAGAGATATCTGTAGATACCACAGTTTTTGTGGTTCCTAGTCAAAGGATAAACTGTAGTACAGCAAGTCGCTAATGAGAATCGAAGGAAGATCCCATCTCTACTGAGAAGATCCCATCCTATCTTTAATGCTTTCATAAGTGGAATTCTATATTGGAACTGGGCTCACCGTGGCTCCCAGCTCTTTGGCCTTATCAATTGTTTCCATTGCCAACATGTGATCAAGACCAGGATCTAATCCCAATTCACCAATGACTGTGATGCCAGCGTCTTCCACACTGCCATAGGTGGAAAAGAAGAAAATGAAAAAGTCAGACATAAAAGAGAAACAAGGCCCTGGAAGCACCTTCCTGAAAGTGGAGACTCACCTCTTCTCCAGTTCTTTCATGGCTGGTGTGATGTAGCTCGCAGTGATCATGTTGACTCTGTTTGAGATGCATGTTTTGGCCACAACAGGATGAAGCACATAAGGCAACAAGCTTAAAACAGAGGGAGAAGGGATTCAGAAGCTTTGCTTCCCAGCCCTCCCTCCCTTCCTGGATGCTTGAATGTGCTACAGCTCAGTCCTAAGAAACTGCCCAACAATGCTGGGCAGTGGTGGTGCATGCCTTTAATGCCAGAACTCAGGAAGCAGAGGCAACGGATCTTTGTGACTTCAATATCGGCCTGGTCTATGGAGCTAGTTCCAGGACAGCCAGGGCAATACAGAGAAACTTTGTCTCGAAAAAACATAAACAAGCAAAGAAAATGCCCAACTAAACAATTCTCTCAGAAATGACCAAAGTCTTCCAAACTACAGAAACATTCATCCTGCTGTCTGCCCCACAATGATCTTCACTACACTTTTCATGTTTTTTCTTTTTGGTTTTTTATATTCATTAATTATGTGTACATATGTTTACATAGGCCATAGACAAATCACAAATATCTAATGATCCAGACATCTTATCTCTAGTTTTCTAACACTGAGAGCATACATGTACCTACCAAAAGACAAATACTAAGTATACAGCAACACGTTAATAACAGCCCAAATAAAAAAACAATTAAATTCTATCAAAGTCACAATAGTACTAATGATATATTCACACAGTAGGGCAGACACAGCCAGTTCTCATAATCACAATATCAAATGAATGAAGACTGTCACAAACAAGGACATACTAAGTGATTCATTTATACAAATTTTGAAAACACGTAAAAACTAATCTAGATATTAGAAGAATAGGGTTTACTCTATGGCATAGAGCCAACAATTTTTTAAAAAGTTAATATGAGGACTTGTGGGATATTACCAGTATTGTTCCTTGATATGGTTAGTGGTTATAAAATGTGTTAACACTGTAGATATTCATTGAGCAACATATTTGGCTTTTTTATTTGTGTGGGGGGGTGGCCCAAACTGTCCTCAAACTTTCAATCCTTAGCTTCAAACAAGCAAACAAGTGCTGGGAATATAGGTATGTACCATTACACCCAGCCATAGTTATTCTTTCTGTATTTTCATTCCTATGCTCTTCAGTTAAATGCTTATGAGACAGACGAGAGAAGGGGAAGGGGGAAAGAGAGAATAAGAGAAGATAAAAACAATAAAGCATACACGGAACTTCGTCTTGTCAAATACCTTATGACAAGATCCTGCGAGGCCACCAAAGACTGCAGCTTTTCCTCTTGCTTACCAATGGTCACGCTAACAGGGTTAATGTTGTATTTCTTGCTTAACTGTTGCATTTGGTTCGTCATGTCAGAGCCTATTTCAAGAATACAGAAGTCCTTTTTTTTAGATTTTTCTCCTACTAGACACTTTTTTACATCTCCATAAAATAGCTTTTCAAAACTTAGAGATAAAAATCAGCTAAAATTCAGATTCAACATGCAGTGAAAACAATTTTCTCCTTCTTAAAATAATTTAAGACCTATTTACCTACTGTTATTTCTATATTGTTGTCTCTTGACAGGTATTCTAAAACAGGCTCAGATACATAGCCAGACCCAAGCACCAACACCTTCTTCTTGGTACTCATTGAAAGAGACTGAATACGTTCTCTGTTTAAAAAAGAAAAAGGGCAGAGGTAACTAAAGTTTATTTATTTTAAAAAACAGAAACTTGCTAGTCCCAAATCAAACAACCTAGATGATGAGGCGACAAAATCTCCCTGTATTATTTGCAATAAGAACTCCAACAGGAATGCCTTAGGCCAATGCTTTTCATTATTTGTTTTAGATCTTGTATGATGGAGCCTGGCATCTGAGATGGCCAATGTCTACCGACTTCTGTGAATTCCAGGACTAGAATGAGAACTGAACTCTTTTCTCTGTTTATTTATAACTGAGTAACTTGTTTCACGCTTTATCTTTCCAGACTTATTTATTGAAAACTATGTTGAGTTTGGATGCTGGAAACATTATTTTCTCCTCACAGCAGCCCAAGGAAATAACAGCCTGAACAATGGCTTTCTATTATCTGCATCAAAAACTGTTTTGTCAAGTATCTTTAGACTGAAGCAAGAAATTAAGACTAGAAAGGATTTGAATTCTTGAACCATTGTACTTTGCCACAAACTATGGCCTCCATGGTAGTGATGGACTCTTATTCAACTCCAACTCATTTCTGCTTACTTCACTGTGTTTTGAACATGGGAGTGATCATCATATGTTTTTGAATCAGATTCCCAGATGACATTATGAAACTGTGGATGTCATCTAGTACCAGAAACTTAACAGCAGCTGGGATGTTGGGATCGTTTGGATATTCTCACACTGTAATCTGCCAACCTTTCATTTGTAGTGAGTAAATAAACATGAAATAAAATGTTCCCACCACTCTTCATGAAGGGGGAGGTCCGGCTGTATGGTGTGAATATATGTTTCTCTTATTGGTTTAATAAAACACTGATTGGCCAGTAGCCAGGCAGGAAGAATAGGTGAGGCTACCAGACAAGGAGAATTATGGGAGAGGAAAGCAGAGAGGAGCTGCCAGAGAGACTCCATGTAGCTACTGGGAAGATTGGACTTTGGGCATTCTCTGGTAAGATAAGGCCATGTAAAAATACACAGATGAATAGTTATGGGTTAGTAAGTAAGAAAGAGCTAGCCAATAAGAAACCTGAGCTGTTGGTGCTAGTATCAGGTATCTATCTGTACAGCCCTGTCCTTGGGGTTCTGACAGGATATGCCCTCAGCTGCAGCAACTAAGAGTCCACCTGTGCATATTCACCATGTTCCCTGTTCATCTCCCATCCTCTCCTCCTCTCTCTCTCTCTCTCTCTCTCTCTCTCTCTCTCTCTCTCTCTTCTCTCCTTTCCTCCTCTCTCTCTCTCTCTCTCTCTCTCTCTTTCTCTCTTCCGCCACTCCTGTCCTCAGAGGCTGGTCTCCCTCCTTTCCTTTCCCTTTTTTTTATATTTTATTTTCTTCCTTTCCTTTTATGATCCCTTTCCCTAATTAAAAAAAAAACTCTCAGCTTGAACCCTGTTGAATGGCATTTTTCTTTCTAGCATGCTGCTTTTCTTAAATTACAACAATTGGCCACACATTTTGTAATTAATATAAGCCTCTGTGTGTTTATTTGGGACTGAAGGCCACTGGGACTAGGTGGGAGAGAACCTCCATCTACTTCTTCACATAGCAACACATTCATATCACTGATAAGATCTCTTTTAATCACTATCTTCATCCCATTTAGCCTCTGAAAGAACTACCATTAGCTGTTTACTAGATATTCTTTCCAGTAGTACCTTATATGATTTGTATAAATGAAACATTTTAATGTACAAATATAAACTGTTCAAACGTTAATAAACTATGCTCAGATTCCACATAAACAGTACCCCTAACACCCCAAATTCCAGGTTAGTAATCATTGCACTAAGCAATGAAAATAATGTAAGAATTAAGCTAGTATTTAAAATAAAGTAAATTCCCTTTCTAGGCAAGTTCTCCATCATCTGATTCCTGGCACAAGAATACATTAGGGAATGGAAGTAAAAAGTTCCAGCAACTGCGGTCACTCAAACTAGCTGCCCCAGAAAACATGGGACACAAACTAAGGAAATAACTGATTAGTTGACATATCCTTACTACTGCAGTAAGAACTCATCAGGTCATAAAAATAAACAGAACTCTGAATAACAAACAAATATGAAGCTTCCCCTGTAAAAACTCTCCTATAGAACTATGAAGGAAGTTTGATTTTAGAAAGAAAAAATACTCAGTGCTTTATGCCAGAAGATTTCATTGCCACGTTAAATTCAGCAGTTCTAAGCAAACTCACACACGAAAGAGAAGTATATATATGGGGCAGGGGGAATCTGATCCTGGCACATCTCTATTTCTTGTAGTAAGAACCAGTGAAATGACAGACTCTGGATATCCCCCATGGAGGGCCTTACCCTCCCTGGGGAACAGAGGGGGAATTGTGCAGGGGGGGCTGGGAGGCTTGGGGGGGCATGGGAGGAGAGGAGGGAGAGGGACCTGGGATTGACATGTGAAGCAAACTTGTTTCCCATTTAAATAAAAAATCTAAAAAGAAAAAAAAGAACCACTGAAAAGAAGTCAAGGTAGTTAAGCTACTGTGTTTGTGTTTTCTCTCTGTGGCTTCTCCCAGGAATTGTTTGTGCATTATTTTGTAAAATATAAAAAGACCAGCAAAATAGGTTGAGCTCAAGTACAGTCTGTGGGGGAAACAAGAATGTTTCAAAGAAACCCCAGTGTTTCCGAGCCTGAACAGAAACATCAGTTAGGGGGAGCAGAGAGCTGGCTGAGCCCTTAGGTAGATTCCCGGGCGATTTTAGTCACCTTCCTCCTCTCATCATCTGCCTTCTTCACTATCTCCCTTAATTTCTATTCATGATCCCACTTTGCCAAACATTATACTGAACAAAATAAAGTCAACAAAACCCAAGCAGAAAGTACCACAGAAAGCGTTAATATGCTCATTTCCTTTGAAAAATTAATCTAGAAATTGCAATGTGCCGGCTGAAGCGAGAACACGAAGGTACGCAATAGCAAACCATTCTACATCTCCTCATTTACAGGCCACGCCTCACCAGATTTTAATGGCTGGGAGGAAAATATAATGTTCTTCAAAGAAAAAGAGCTCCCCTTGGTTAGCCAGTTGCATACTCTGGGTTTCTAACATTATCAAACCTCACAAATTACTTAGATCTAACATTACTGACTATCATTGAGGCCTTCAAGCATACTCATAAAAACCAAGGCAAGAATCAATGTATAAAACAAGAAGATTTTTAACAGTACTTACCTGCTTTCTCGGAGTTTCTGGATATACTTGTATTTATCAGTCAATGTACCATTAGATGTAATCACTGCCTAGATGTGTATACACAAGACATTTCTTTAGTATCCAACATCTTAGTCCTAGACATATGGACACATGACTAGCAGAGGAGACAAAGGAATGTAGACTTGGGAGGGAGGGAGAAGAGAATAGGGAGGAGGGAGACAAGAGAGTGGGGAGGGAAGGGAGGAGAAAGTCTACACACAGCAAGGAGGAGAATTAAAGATGGTAGGAAAAAGTTACGTTCACGGGAGGAAATACTCAGGACTTACGTCTCGCACCACTGGGGAGAAGTTCTGGCTTTCGAGGGGCTGTGACGCATCTGATAACAACTGCAAGGAGAAGAGGATGGGGAGAGTTAACGGAAGATGCAACGGTGGCTTGATGGCATTTTATAAGCACAGCGACGTTTCTGCTTAAAGAAAAAGTTTTCTGAATGTTGCTGGATACAAATAACTGGTCACAGAAATCTGTAGTTAACTCTGCGTCCAGGAATGCAGTGTCTCAAGGCAACCCCTTCTCACCATGGTCCTGGCTCTGCCATTCCTCAGCCAGACTGGTCTCTGACACCTGCAGGAAGTCAGGACTCCAGTGTTGCTCAGAGGCTGCGTCACACCCCTCTTTTATGTGTGTGTGTGTGTGTGTGTGTGTGTGTGTGTGTGTGTGCATGCGCGCGCACGCAGGTGCACACGCATGTGTTCTCATGTGCACAGTGGGAGAGCAGTTTGTCTCTCTGTAGGGAGAGCAGTCAGGAGGACTCAAGACAGGACTATTTACATTCAAGGGCCAAAAAGGAGGAAGTGAGAGGCTGTGACCCTGTGCAGAGACTCCGCTGACTCTAAAAATGCCCAATTTTAAAACTAGAGTTTGATTCTAACCATCTCTGCTTGCTGAGAACACACAAGAACTCTTTCACAAGCAATCAGAGGTATTATATTGAACACGTTTTAAGTTCCCCACGTATTAGAGCCGTAATCTTCCTTCTGAGTGGCTCTGTCCCAGCCCGGAGTTTAAGCTGCTCAAGAGAACTAGACAAGCGCACCAATCTCACAGCAGAGGTAACTCTTGGTCAAATTTAGCTCTATGGGTAACACAAAATTTCAACTCTTAGGGATAATGGCTTGAACAAGTAAAGCTCAAAATAGCACCTATAAATTCTGTCCATTTCCCTTGAGTCAGATAGATATTGACAAATCTCTCTCTCCTCCCTCCCCCCTCCTCACTTCCACTCTCCCTCAATCCTCCTCCTCTCTCCCTCTCCCTACTCCTCCTCCTTCCCCTTCCACCCCCATTCCTCCCTCTCTCTCTCTCTCCCTCTCCTACTCCCTCCCTCTCCTTCTCCCTCCTTCTCCCTCTCCCTCTCTTCCTCTCTCTCCCCCCCCTCAATCGTTCTACATAGCCCTAGTTGGCCTTGAACTCAGAGATTCCCCTGCCTTTGCCTGGGACACATCTCTCATATTAACACCTGAGAAGTCTTCTCTTGTTCCCAACACCCAGAACTCTTGTTCCCAAGTACAGGGTATCAGTCAGGACTGTTACCTCAGATGGTCAATGGTGGGACAGTGGTTGTCCTTCTCTACCATTTCTAGGTTAAGGTCTAGATCACTTACCCAAATAAGAAACAAAACTTTACACAGCAGATGCTAGAAACAAGATGTAAGCTCGTTCTTGTGTATCTAAAGCAGAAATCAACAAATATGTATCAAATCTGAGGGAAACAAATGTTGCTTGTCATTCCAAAGCCTGTGTCCTGTAATACCACAGAGTCTGCACAGACTTTAAGTCAATGGCAAACAATGAACAAAAATGTATCAGTAAAATAATTCCTGAGCCAGGCGGTGGTGGGGCACGCCTTTAATCCCAGCACTCAGGAAGCAGAGGCAGGCGGATCTCTGTGAGTTGAGGCTGGGCTGGACCAACAGCCTCGACAACAATGCAGAGAAACCCTGTCTCGTAAAAACCAAAAAAAAAAAAAAAATTCCTGATGACACTCTGCTATAGATCAGTGACTTTCTCAGCCATCATCCAAGAGGCTACAGCAAGCCACATCCAGGTATCATGCAGAGTGAGAGACCTTGGAACGTCCAGCCCTAACTGAATCATCCCTAATCAAACTCTTCCCCACAGGGTTCAAAGAACCCCGGGGAAAACGAGGCAGAAAGAGGAAGGATGGAGGACACCAAGAAAACAAGACCCTCTACATCAGCATGACTAAAGCACTTATGAACTTGCACAGGGCCTGTGTGGGATGCACCAGGTCCTTTGTATATATATTATAGCTTCCAGTTTAATAATTTTATGGGATTCCTGAGTGTGCAAATGAGTGGTCTCTGTTTCTTGTGCCTTCTTTGGGGCTCTTTTCATTCTGTTTCTTTCAATTCAGATCTAGCGTGTTATATTTTTTGTTTTCTCTTATTTAACTAATTTATTATTATCCCTTAGAAGCTTATTTTCTAATGAGAGGCAGAAAGGTGGTAGATCCCAATGGGAAGGGAGGTGGGAACTGGAAGGAGTAGAGGGAAGGGAAACCAAATTCAGAATATACTGAGAGGGAAAAACTATTTTCAACAAAAGGAAAAAACATTTAAGAAAAAAAGTAAAAATGAGGGGGAAATAGAGTAGTAATAAACCCTGAAGTAGCTCCTGCTATAGTTTGTCAACAGAAGGTTCCCACAACTTATATGTCTGAACACTTGGTTTTTGACTGGTAGCACAGTTTTGTCAGATTGTAGAACTTTGGGGGACTGTCCAGCTGAAGAAAGCGGGTCGGTGAGGGCGGACCTGAGGTCTGTATTTTATCTTTGTTTCTTGTCCTCTCTCCATTTCCTGTTCCTCCCAAATGTGATCAAGCAGCCTCATACTCGTAACCCCACAGCATAGGGCCATTCTTCCAGCCATGCTCTGAAACAAACCTTTCTTCTCTTAGTTGCTTTTTGTCAGGTATTGATCGCAGCGATGAGAAAAGCTGTACAGAAAATTGGAACAGAGAAGTGCGGCCTTTGCTATGACAAACTGGACCATAGGAGTCCCAGTCCTTTGCAGCAAGCTTATTAGAGAAACGTGGAGAGTATGAAGAGCTGCTGGCTAAAGGAACCCCCAAATATTCACAAGCAAAGCTCAACGGGCTGTTTTGATGGGAACTGGAAAGACCAAAATGCCAACAGGGAGGCATATTGTGAAGTCTGGGACCGTGGGGTTTCATACAGAAATGGGATCTTTCAGGATCTAGACCAGAATCCATTTGTGTAACATTTTGGTAAGGAATCCAGCTGTACATGCTCATGTCCAGAAAACTTAACTGAGACCAAATTCAAAAATGGCGCAGTAAGGAGCAGGGGCTGGAAAGATGGCTTAGTGTTAAGAGCTCTTGTTGCTCTTTCAGAAGACACAGGCTTGGTTCCCAGAGCCCTCATAATGGCTCACAAGGATCTATAACTCTAGTTACAGAGTACATGGTATCCTTTTCTATCCTCCATTGGCACAAGGCATATATATGGTATACATGTATACATTCAAACACTTACACACATACAACTAAATATTTTTTAAGATTAAGTTGTGGATTAATTTGTTGAGTGGAGAAAATTTGAAGACAGTGTATGGCTATTACTCACTATGTTTGGCCATATTTACTGTGAGAGTGAGCAAATGTGGACAATGATTTCAATCGCCAGAACCCACACAAAGGTGAGAGAATGGATAACACACACAGGCAACACCACATGCATGCGCACACACACACACACACACACACACACACACACACAGAGAGAGAGAGAGAGAGAGAGAGAGAGAGAGAGAGAGAGAAAGAGAGAGAGAGAGACCAATAATAAATGAAATTTTAAATTTATAGAACATATACCAATTAAACAAAATAAAAGCAAATATAGTAGCAAGGCACAATAAAGTAGCAGATTAAGTTCATTCATAAGCACAGATGTAATAATCCCAAATAAGATAAACCAATGAATGTAAATACAGTTAATGGGTGTATATGAACATATGCATGTATGAATGCATATGCACATACACATAACCCAGAGATATGTCAGAACAACTCTTTATAGGACAATTGTTAGTAATAGTTCCAAACAGAAAACTAAATGTCAACCAACAGTTAAATAAATATTTGTTGACATAGCCATTAGCAAGCTGAATTTGATCATACATAAGAGATAAATATATTGTAGCCAATTGAGTTTATTCTATGAATGTAAAAATGGTTTGATTTGAAAATCACTTGATATAATTTATCATATTAGCAAAACAAGAACCATATAATTTTGATGAATGCCAAATATGTAAAAATATATCCATTATAATAGTTCAAAAGTCTTTAAAATGAAAAACAAATGTATGAAACTTCAGAGTAAATGTCAGACTTGCTGATGAGACTTTTCTCTGAAGGACAGAAACAATGAAAGGTCAGAGGGGGGAAAGAAAGGCTGTAAAGTACCATATTCTAAGTACAACACAGATGTGACAACCATGAACTCACGGCAGCTGGCTGCGTGCACTGGCTTCTCTTGACAGCCAGCTACATAGAGGAAAGATTCACAGGACTACAGGAATCACTCTGCTGACAACCAACAGATTCTGACCCTGGCATTGGGTGAGGCATGGTATCCACGTGTGTGGCCACTGGTCACCAAACCAAATTCTGATGGTTAGTTCCAACTCATGGTCACACAGATGACTCTGATTAAACTCTGAAGAACACTAAGCAAAACCAAAGTGTGTGAAAGAGAAAAGACACGGGGCAGAGATGGTAGAGGTAAGGCAGATGCAGGAGAAGGAAGGTGGCAGAGGAAGGGAAAACATGGTGTGTATGTGTACAAATCAAAAAGAACAAAATTTACTAACAAAAAGAGACTTAAAGAGACAAAGGCATAAAGTTGCTTGCTCTTTTAATATATATAACTCCTAAATATAACATGCTCAGTTCATATATTACATTTATGTTTCACTATTATAAATTGCATCCCTTTGATACTTTAATATTTTACTAATATATCTATATATATGTATTGTTTTCTTTAACAAATTTTTCTTTCATGAATGTTGTCATGATGAGTTATACTGGCTAATTCTCATGATGCTTTAGCGTAAATTCATTGAGTTGACTTCTCTGTCCCCTACCACCTGTATGAAATGAACAGCACTGAATCATAAGTTTTATTAAAGACAAGTAGGAGGTCAGTGAGATGGCCAAGCAGATAAAGGCACTTGCTACCAAGCCTGAAAACTTGATTCTAGTTCCTAGAATTCACATGGCAGAAAAAAACTGACACTTCAACTAGTCCTCTGATCTCCAGATCCACATCTATACACACACATATGCCCCCACGTGCCCACATGCATATGCATGCACATCTATACATATACACAAACAAAATGTAAGTTGAAAATATAAAAATAATGACTTACAGAGGTGCCTGGGGAAGGTTGATGGAGGGAAAGGGAAGAAAGGAGGGAGGGGAAACTGTGGTTGGGATATAAAATAAATTAATGAAATACATAATGGAAAATAGAAGAAAAGAAAAATAAATAAAACACAAGAAATGGGAAAAAGCACCAATAACTTTTAAAAGATAGCAAAATTGTTCAGGGTTAGAAGTCAGGAGAGTGGATATGTCACCTTTGAAAGGAAGGACGTGGAGAGCCCTAAGGGAGGATAAAGGACTTTGGGGATGCTGCCATTGTCTGATTTAGAGTACACAAAACCTCCGAAAGATTGAGACAGTCAAAACTCCAGTATGGAAGGAGGAAGGGTTCATAAGGCCTTGCTCCTAGGTGCTACTGGTAGTTGATGCTTGCTTAAGGAGACAGAGTCATTTTTCTTAGGGGATGTGGCCACTGGTAAGGTGCCCAGGCTTTAGTAAATGGCTCCTCATTCAATACATATAGGCAGTAATAATAACAGGCCTCAAGAGGTTGTTTTTAAGATATGAATTAGGAAGGGGGATATATTGCAGACTTCTGGACAGAGTTAGAGGTGACAGTAGATAAGATCAAAATACACTGTATACATTTCTAAAAGAAATGTTAATAGTCACACCTATGCACACAATCTAAATTCAACAAGATAAAAGTTGAGCTAAAGTACATAGTCTTGCACTGAAAAACATGACAAAGCCAGTAATTTGTCAGTACTTCTTGCTATTTCAGTGCTCTGCTGGAACCAACATGATTCAATCCACTTGTTAGAAACAGGCAGGTGTATGTTAGATGTAGCGAACTAGCCCTCCCTTAAATACTAATCCTGGACAAAGCTTAGGCAATAACGAACTGGAAGAGAGGTTCAGAAAGAGGGGCAACAGCTCTGGAGAAGCATCACATGGAAGAGCATCTGCGGGAACAGCTGAAGCACCCCTTTTTGATATTGCTTTGAGGGCAAGACATAGGTGATACTCTAGATTTGTTCTACCAATGGCATAAAGAACATTGACCAAAGCCACTTACTGGAGGAATGATTTTATTTTGGCTTACCAGTTATAGTCCATCACTGAGAGAAGTCTGGGTAGGAACTCAAGGAAGAAACCATGGAGAAATGCTACTTGCTGTCTTTCTCACTCAATGCTTAACTAGCTTTACATGCAGACCAGGACCATCTGCCCAAGCAATGATGCTGACACCGGTGGGCTGGACCTTTCTACATCAAGTAGTAATCAAAGACAACCATCCACAGAATCAACAAAAGAACCTGATCTATACAGTTCTTCAACTGAGGTTGTTCGTCTCAGATGACTCTAGTCTGTATCAAGTTGACAATTCAGATTAACCAGGATGAGGAGAAGTAAAGGGGTACTGGGAATCTGTCAGGCCCAGAGCAACCAGACTCATGTGTTAGGGGTATAAAAGTGGCAGATTCTGAGAAAGGGAGTCAGTGTTTGTGCAAGTCTCTTCTGTCTCATGAACCCCAAACTGAACATGTACATTAAACATTCAAGTAGAGATAAAAGACTCAAATTTCTATTTAAGCTAGCTTGTTCCACAGACGAGATGTAACTTTCAATAAAAGTCTAAGCGAGCAGAGTCTGAAATTGCTTTTGAAATAAAGTTCACCCTTTCTCAGAGCAGCATCACAATCCAGAATCCCTACAATGGCATTCATACAATAAGAACATAGTGAAACCTGCTACCTAGTCTCAAAGGCACAAACAATTAACAAACTTCAATCCTAAATTTACACAGAGTGTTGGAAGGATAAGACATAGCAGCGTCCCCTTGTCCAGAGTTTTGCTTCCCATGGTTTTAGTTACTTTGGAATTACTGTATGAAAAGAGTCAATAGCAATAAAAAAGATATCTTAATAGAGAGAGAGCCATTGTGGGCTTATGGAGAAACCTGGTGCTAGACTAACTCCCAAGAATCCACAAGGAGGACTCCAACTAAGACTCCTAGCAATAGTAGAGAGGATGCCCTACCCCTGTAATCAGATAGATGAATACCCCAACTATTATCATAGAGCCCTCACTCAGTAAATGATGGAACCAGATGCAGAGATCCACAACCAAAACCAGGCCAAACTCCAGGAATCCAGATGAAGAGATGGAAGAAAGAGCATATGAGCAAGGGAAATCAAGATTATAATGGATAAATCTATAGAGATAGTTGATCCGTGCTCATGGAAACTCATGAACTCTAGACCTACAACTGTGGAGACTGTAGGGGGCTGAACTAGGCCCTCCATATGTGGGAGACAGTTGTAAAGCTTAGACTATCAGAGGACACCCTGGCAGTAGGACCACAATACAAACCATGAGCTAGCTTGTTGGAGCCCATTCCCTGTGATGGGATACCACGCTCACTCAGTCTTAATGAATGGGAGATGTACCGAGCCCTGCCCCAACCTGTTGTACCAGACTATGTTGACCCCCATGGGAGACCTTACCTGTAAAGAGAAGTAGACTGGGGATGGGCTAGGAGGGAGGTAAGGGGGGAGAGGAGGCAAGGTGGTGGAAGGGAGAACTGTGGTTGGAATGTAAAATGAAATCAAACAGTAAAAAAAAAATCTTTAAAAAAAGAAATTCCTGAAATAAACTATTCATAAGTTACAAGTTATATATCCTTCTGAATAGCAAATGCAATTCTATGTTGTCCTGCTGTATCTCACTTGACCAGTATATTCATATGGCATATGCTACCTACTCTGAAGCCATTTAGAAGCCATCTTGGTTCTCAAATTAGTTGTGGTGCTCTTCCAGTAGCTTAATTCTAACACTGTTCCCTACACCTTTCACTTCACTTCCTTTCATCACAGGTATTTTTATTAAATATCAACACAAGGGCAAGAAGCACATGCAATGCAAATGAGAGTGAGAGACCTCATTGACATAAACTTTACAAGATTTTCTTACATAAATGTTATCAATGTTCTGTTTCATAATCTTGCACCTTGTTTATAAAATAAACTTTGTCATAGATATGCTAGTGCAGAGTAGATATATATAGAGGCTTTAACACCACACAAACATTTCAAACATTAACTGAAAGGGTCTCAAATGTGCTCCCTGCAGATAAGGGAAACTAACAAAGATCACAAAATGGCTTTTATAACTATGCTCCACATGATAAAAGAAAAATTCATAATAACAAAAGCATGAAGCTGGGTGATGGTGGTGGTGCACACCTTTAATCCCAGCACTTGGGAGGCAGAAGTGGGTGAAGCCATGAGTTTGAGGCCAGCCTGGTCTACAGAGCAACTTGCAGGACGTCCAGGGCTACATAGAGAGAAAGTCTGTCTCTTAAAACCAATGATGATTATGATGATGATGACGACAACGACGATCATGACAATAGCGTGGAGATTCTCAACAGGAAAAAAGAAAACTACCAAAAAACACATAACCACCACTCACACCCAAAAAGTCAACTCTAGGACTGTAACATCTGAAATTAAAAAAATACAGTCAGGCTTGCTACCAGTACAGAAACTACAAAGGCATTTACATATCCGAAGAATTCTTCTGAATTCTACATACAATTAGTAATAATAAAATTAGTAAATATTGCTTTGAAAAAGAAATCTAGTCAGCAGAGAAACAATGACAAGGGAAAATGAACATAAAATACAGTTGGGGACATTAACTACTTCTTTTTGCCCTAGACACACACCATGATGTAGGCACTGAGACATTTACATCTCTAGGATGTTAAAACTTGGAAATCCATTAAGATTATATACTTCCACCACCTAATTTCACAAATGAGATACCTGAGGCATACCCTGAAGAAGTAAATCTAGCTGATGCCATTAGTAATTTCCAAATGCCACTCCCTCCCTTCAGAGCCAACTTCAGACACACTGAAGACTCAGCACTACATTGGCACATGATAGAAAGCGAAAAACATTTCCCTTAAGTTGTCATCTGACCTCCATGGGCACATCATGGTGTGAACGTACCACTGTGGGCACATGTACACATACAAACACATCAACAAATAAATAGTAATATCTTTCCACAATATTTTCTAATGTGCTCATCCTCTTATGTCTCCTTGTTATTGGTCACTCATAGAAGACAACTTCCCGTTTCACAGTGGGAGAGAAGTGGGGAATGAAGACACAAGAGCCACTGTTCAGGACCTGGAATCTCTGCCAGAGGTCAACTGTTGTTAGCAATAAAAAGTAAAGCATGGCAAGTCTGAACCCAAGATAAACACTGAAGGAAGACATTTCTTTGGTAAAGGGAATGGAATCTAGATTACACATCATTTCAGAATCAATCACAGGAGAAAAACACTATCTCACCATAAGCTGTCAGTGAACAAAACACTAGTGGCTGGCATCCAGTAGTATTTTCTATAATTGTGACTATTCAGATCTGTTCATTGTAGCACAATAAAAACGCCCCCAATATAAATTGGTCTACATAGTAATGTAATTGATGATAAAGTAACTCTATACTCTTTCATGTCACAAATACCCTTAATAAAATGTATATACAATGAGATGAATGTATAATTGTGTTTGTGAGCCTGAAGTCAGCCACATAATCACAGTCCCCATGATACAAGTAAAAGATTATGGAGAATAAAATGGACCTGTAAGTACATTTGGAGAAGGGCTGGCATTTCATTTTACAACAGATTTCTTAGAGACAGGAGACCAGAACATTTGTAAGCTTACTCTATATTTCTACTTAAGGTCACAGAGTTGCTATGGAGGCTACCAATCCCCTTACCATTTCTTCAACATAAGGGTAAAGCATATCTCCAAAGTATTCTGTAGCCTCAATTGGAAGCTGTGCTGGCAAATTGTCAATGGAACACATCAGAATCCCGGAGCCTTCAACACTAGGAGAAGCAACATGCTTTATTCAAATGCACAAAATATTACTTGAACATTGTAAATTTTCTTAGGCTTTACCCCATTACAATGTTTGTTTCATTGTTATTTGAATATTTATAGTCTTAAAAAGTAAAACATGTTATAAATAAGACTGCTTTTCAAACAAAGCCTTTTCTTTATTCAACAACCCATCTCCCATTTAAATATAGTATACATGTATTTAAGCATTCTAATTTTAATGTGCTTTTTCCATTTTTTACTGAGTTTGAGCACATACCTACAAATTTTCACTTATTCATAAAGAAGTAAAATGTTGAGTACTTTAGCACACAGAGGTAAGGTAACAGCAGCTTTGACAAACTCACCTGTCATGAATAATATGCTGGTCTGCATCATACATGCAAAAGGGTCGTTCTATCGTAGTACACTCAGTCATAAAGTCTATAGACCCTCCTGTGTCTGCAGAAATGTCACATATTGCCACAAGCCTGGAAACAATACCAACACCCAGATGAGAGGGTGGAATTCTCAGGCCTTCAGGAAGACTAACAATGTATAAAAATAAAATGTGCTTGAAACAAATTGCATTGTGAATGCCAAATACTTTCTGGGCACTTAGAATATTTGTCCTACAGTTCAGTTTTTGGAACACTGGGTTGTTCTAAGACACAGGGTTCTTTATTTTCCATGAGAATAATGAAAAAGGGAAAGGAGCAGAAACAAAGGGGGTAGGGAGAATCCCTTCCCTACAGAAACATTTGATAGCGGACAGAATAAGGTGGCCTGGTTCACCATCTGTAAATAGCTATTCTAGATAGTGCAACTACCTCTCTCTATTTCAGGGTTTTACATCCTTATATTCAGCTGAGAGCTGAAAGCATTTTTAAAATATTGCATCAATATTCAACACACATAAAATTTCTTATTATTACTAAAACAATACATCACAATTATTTGTACAGCTCTATTGAGTAATAATTTTACTAGCATATGTCCACTATATGAATTAGGTTTTATTTTAACTATTTCATACATGTATACAATTTAACTGATCATACTTGCTTTTTTTTCTTTTTCCATTGGTGGGTACTGAACATAGTACTTTAAGCTCTCTATCCTATTATTTTTCTCCTATTTATTCTGAATCACGGTGTCACTAAGTTGCCCAGTTCGGCCATGAAGCCCCTCTATCCAAGACAACCCTTATACTTCTAATCTTCCTTCTTCAGACTCACATGTAGATATATTACAGGACACTAGCAGGCCCAACTGATTGTACTGATGATGTACTTGGCATCATCAGCAACAGGGATCTGATGTGAAGTATACAGTATATGAGGAACTTGAATATCAATAGATATGGCAATCTACTAGGGCTTAGAAACCATTCCCCATAGACAGGAGGAGTTGACTGTGCTACATAATCATCTATTCTTGTGTGGAAATCTCTAGAAGTATGATTGGTAGTCATAGTTTTTTGAAAATAGACTAGTCACAATGCTCCTGTCCTGTCTCCAGTCACCACACGCCCACATAAGGTTGTATACTAGACATAGCCTTGTCCAGCATTTTCATTTCACTGGTTTTGAACTTACCAAGTAACAGCCCTACACTGACATGCTCATCCTCCCTCTCCCTTTTTGAATGGTTTTGCTGAGCCCAGAGTTAGTCACTCATCAGAAACATTAAAAACAATTCCTAAGCATGTGATGGGGATACTGTTTTATCTTTAAAAAATAATTAATAGGCTTTCTGAGTTGTTTTTGTGTCTAACAGGCCCTTCAAAGAAACTTAAAGGGACACAAATAGTAACACACCCTGGCCCATACTGTTTAAGTGATATAAGTTTGCTGTTTCAATAACAAATGCTCTGCCAAGAAGGGTTCCTATTCCCCATTTTCCAAATATGCAATGCATAGAAAAGCATTACTTTGAACTGAGAGCATCCAGGAGTGTGTACACCTCTACATGTTGCAAAGAGAGATCCCTACGCAAATATAGAGTTTCCCCAACAAAAGTCCCTTGCTTTCTTTGCTACAAGTAATAGAATATATTTCACTCTCATTGCAGAGTTGTGCTTATCAGCCTGTGCTCACAAGTGATCCAACCATTGTGTTCTGTCACCATGTACCTACTTCATCTAATATCCTGTTACATTGTTTTTGTTCCTAGTGTTCCAATGACATTTGCTTCAGAGCAGCAAACAGCCCAACCATGCAGAATCCCTGGTAAGTAATGTGTCTCACAAATATTTACTAATGCATTCAATATTTAAGACCTAATTAAATATCTGTTTTATACCAAGTACTCAAAGTCAAGACAAAAAAGACCCATCCCTATGTTTCAGAATAATAAACTCCAGTAGGAGAGAGAATAACCTTAAACACAGGAAAATAGATGATTGCCAATGTCTCAAAACAAAGTAACAAACTAGAGAGGAATGAGATTAATTATAAAGACATTTCTGAGGAATGAGCTTTGGAACCAAATGAGTCAGAAGTCAATCTGAGGGGGGGGGCGGTGTGAACTGTGAAATGCTTCCAGGAGGTCAGGTCAGACTATCGCTCTATCTCTTGCATGCAAGAACACTGTATTCTTTGGTCCCCTAATGATGGTGCTGCAGCAAAACAATAAAAACAAACAAAAAACTCACTTCATTTTCATTTCCTTACTTGTGTGGTAATTCAGGGCATCCTTCAACAGGAGCCACTGAAGACTTCACTGGAGCTAGGAGACTCTTAGCATCCTGACGAGTTAGCAGGCGAGGGGTATTTTGCTCCCAGTAGATTCCATTGATTAAACAAGTTGTATATGGTGCAATCTGTGAAGCATATTCCATGTCCAACAAAACAGGATGCAGGATATGTTAATAACTTGCACTGAAAGAACATTGTATTAGAATCAAGCCCACTAGAGATCATCCGTGGTGCTTCTGTGGAACTACTTTGCTGTCCGAGTCAACTGCCATCTTCTGAGGAAAAGATAATATTCACCCACCTTTCACTGTAGAATTACTCCATGATAAGATTCAAATATAATAAAAACATTCATATTTTATTCTATAATATATTGCATAGCTGGGGAAAATAAAATAGCAAAGAATCAAGTGACCCAAAACTCTTATTTCCAGTTTCAATACCATAGAGCACAATTCTAATAATACTCAACTTCTCTGAACTCTTTTGCTCTTACCTGCCAGATGGGGATACCAGTCCTCAAAAGAATGCTTGAGGATTAATCGGATAACCTCTCTGGGGAACTGCTTACACACATACATGTACATGTAGCAAGTGGGTCACCATCAGTTTCAGTACGTTTCTGTATCTCATAACTAATATATATGGTTCAGGATTAAAATTAAGGGCAGATTACCAATTAGGGGCTCATCATTAGGAAGACTATCCCACTCTTTATATAGTATTCCTTATTGCCTATAGCTCTTTGTCTAGCAGAGTGGTCATCCCAGAAATCATATATATATATATATATATATATATATATATATATATATATACAAGTAACACTAAATGAGCAGGTTGTATTTACATATTTAGTCCCACACACACACAATTTATGTATGTATATATACATATATACATTTATGTACACATATACAAATACACACATTCATATATAGAGAGAAAGAAAGAGAGACAGAGACAAAGGGAGATATGAAAAAGAGGTCATGAGTTTGATCAGATCACAGTGCATGGTAGGGAAGTAAGAGAAAGGCCTACAACAAGAAGTTAAAGTAGAAGCTGGAACACCCTGCTGCCAATCTAAGATTGGCCCCTGTGGTATACACACAGTCCAAGTTTGCGGAGGCAATGAGAAGAACAGTGCCATGCCCCACATCCAATCTTAGGGGCTCTGAGTGTTGTCCTCAGAAAACAAGGATCATTGATATGTCTACAATGCACCCAATAACGAGCCAGCCTACACCAAGACCCTGGTGAAGAACTGTACTACGCTTATCAACCACACTGTACCAACTACTGGTATGAGTCCCACTGGGCATTGACCACACTGTACCAAGTATTGGTACAAGTCCCACTGGGCACTGCCCCTGGCCACAAGAAGGGGAGCAAGCTGACCCCTGAGGAGGAATAAATATGAAACAAAAATGATCAAAGAAAATTTAAAAGAAATACGATGAAAGGAAAAAGAATGCCAAAACCAGCAGTCTTCTGAAAGAGCAGCTCCAGCAGGGCAAGCATCTTGCCTGTATAACCACAGGACCCACCAGTGTGGCAAAGCAGAAGGTTCTGTGCTAGGAGGCAAGGCTCTGGAGTTCTATCTAAGGGAGACCAAAGCTCAAAAAGGCAAATAAGCCATCACTCTTAGCCCATGTAATAAAGGTATTTATTGTTTGATAAAAGAAAATATTTCTAAAACGAAGAGATGAAGTGTACTAAATTTAAAACTATTTTCAACCTAAATTGTTTTTATATACCTTTTGTGCCTTAAGTATCTCGAGGCATTCCCACATGGAAAGGAAGAGTTTTGTCTGTAACACACCCTAAAATAGCAAAATTTTATACCAGAATCTAAAGGTACTACATTGCAGAAGCACATTTAAAATTATTTAAAGCATTTCTTTTCACAATGTGTGTATGCATTTTGAGATATGTTTGGTTTCTAGCTTGTTGGCTTGTTTTGAGGAGAGCTGTTACATGACTGATTGTATTTCTTAAACCACAAAGCCTCTGTTTCCCCACAAGAGGGATGCAGCTTATAAATCATATTTTGAGCAATATCCAGCTTCGTTTTTATTTTATATGGCTTTTCAGCTGAAGATGTTAAACTTGAGTTCCAAGTGAGACTCTAGAAATTTGAAGTTAATTTGACTTAAGACTTTGGAACTATTGGGGATGAAATGCACATATGCTAAATGGGAGAACATAAGTTTTATGGGGCATAATACTATGGGTGAAATACAGTTGTCCCTTGGACTCCTGCAAAGATTAACCAACAGAGTCTTATGCTCATGGTATTTAGAGGGTAAAAGCTGAGTACCACCATGGTATTAAGAGGAGGGGACTTTGGACAGTGATTAAATTAGATTAGAAAAGAGTGGAGCACCCATGATGAGTCTTCGTGGTTTAGTTAGAAGAGGGAAAGAGAGCACTTGGATAGAGATACACATGACCTCCTACCATAATGTGATGCAGACAATGGCAACCTATGAAAGAGCCTGAACCGTGCTTTGTACTTCAGACCTCCAAAACGGTAAACTAAGGGCGGGCTAGACATTTGCTATAGTAAGAACATGCATGTATCCCCAGACCTACTTCTTTACCTAGGTCTGGTTTTCTAAATGCTGGTGACAAGCCTGCTCTGAAAAAAAAGGTAAACTAATAACTTAATAGCTTCTTTTCTTTCAAACCTCAAGTCTTTTCTTTTAAAGTCAACTAAGATGCCAGCTGAGGTTATGGTTACAATTTTTGGCAACAGAAAGAATAAATCTTTGGCGATGTTGCTCAGTGGTAGAGCACTTGCTCAGATGTGAGAAACACTACTTTCATTTCCAAGTACTGAATAAGAGCCAGTTTTTTCAATGTTAGGACACATTTATGTTAAGATCAAGCCTCAGAGATGTTGCATTTTTTTGCCAACAGTGTTTACTGGTATAGACTAATACAGAAAGCAAGGGTCTCCAGAAACTGGTTTAAAACTAATGAGCATACACAATGTGAAATAGAGAGACTGTGAAGCAATGGACATCCCCACAGAAGCCACCAAAACCACTAAGCAAAGACCACCTCAATCAATTCCAAGTATTAGTAGGAGCCAACTACTACTCCAACACAATAGAACCAAAGGACTCACAGTCAGTCTACCCCAGGACCTGAAGAATCAAGGTACATATTCACAATTTCCCTCTCAGAAAACAGCTTAACTATGGTATCATAGCAACCAAATCAAAGCCAAATACTCACATCTGTATTAAAACGACTTATATAGCGCTCAGGATATTTCTCATACTCTACAGGATCATACACACCATCTGTTTTCCTGACAAGATGATGATGGCGACTTAACACCGTCCCATACACTTTCCTGAGGTCTTACAAAGAAAGAAGAAATTAGTAAAGTGGCAAATGATAACAATTTATGATGATAAAATATTAACACAAAGACTATTACAAACAGCAAAAGATAAGGTTCTCCCTCACCCCTTACCTCCAGTTTTTGAAACTTCTTTTAGTTCATGGGGCTCCACATACTCACAAGGTAGTTCGTTGAAGACTTCTTGGGCTCCCTGCAAATTGTGCGTGAGCAACAGAATCAAACCTCAGTAGGGACATGGTCAACAGATTTCTTGTAAGGATTCACATTTGCACAGTTCCCCTTGCCCAGTCCTATAACCAGGATCACAGCACAGAAGTACAGAGGAGTGTCATGCTGGTAGCTGACAAGCTAGCTTTGGTTTCGGCTGCGTTAGAAGGGACTAGTTCTTCAGAACATCACCAAGAGTTTAGAAAGGTGGGTGTAACAGAATGTGCCTACTTGCTTTTTGATTCACTACAGAAATTGTTTTAAGTGGGAAGACTGTTTACCACAGAAGGAAAAGATCAGGTGCATGCTTTACAATTTAGCATGGACAGAGGTTCTGGTTGTAAAACTTCTGCATTACAGACCTATATTTCAACTACAGTTTTCTCTATGAGATTACAAATGCAGCCTCAATGCCACTCCAGGGTGAAGCATTAATTCCATTCTTAATCTTCCTTAGTGTGCTGGCTGGTCTTATGTCAACCTGACACACAATTAGGACTATCTGAAAGGAGGGAACCTCAATTGAGAAGATGCCTCCTTAAGATTCAGTTGTAAGGCATTTTTTAACTAATTTGATGGGGGAGGGCCCCGCCCTTTGTGGTTGTGTCCATTATGAGCAGGTGGTCCTGGGTTCTATAAGAAAGCAGGCTGAGCAAGCCAGGGCAAGCAAGCCAGTAAGCAGCTCCCCTTCATGGCCTCTGCATCAGTTCTTGCCTCCAGGTTTCTGTCTTCATTTTCTCTGATGATGAATGGTGATGTGGGAGTTTAAGCCAAATAAATTCTTTTTCTCTCTGATCTGCTTTTGGTCACAGGAAGGAAAGGGTTTATTTTGCTTATACTTCTACAGCACTGTTCATTACTGGAGGAAGTCAGGACAGGAACTCAAACAGGACAGAATACTGGAGACAGGAGCTGATGCAGAGACCATAGAGGGGTGCTACTTACTGGGTGGCTTCCCCTGGCTTGCTTAGCCTGCTTTCTTGTAGAACACAGGACAGCCAGCCCAGGGATGGAAACACCCACAATGGACTGCTTCACTCCCACCATCAACAAATGCCTTATTGTCACAGCAATAGAAACCCTAAGACACTTAGTTACTAGCAAGATTCCAAACAGTTAATGAAGAAACAACCCATCACCTGAAGGGAGGTGCTTCATATCATTAATAAGCAGTTATCAAAGGAAGGAAACGTAGAAGGAAGAATAAGGGGAAGGAAGATGGAAAGGGACACTTCAAGCCTCTGATACAGTGGTTCTCAACCTTTCCAATGCTGTGACTGATGAGGGAGATCAATGTAATATGAAAATTAATATATTTATTTACCAGAGAAAGAACTTACACACAAGCTGGATGATCATAAGCATGGCAGGCTTCCAAGAAAGAAAGAGAGGTTTTTCTTTCTCTTTCTTTAAATATCTCACCTGTGCTCACCCCCCTGTCCCCGCCCCTTTTGGGCATGGACAGTGTTGTGAGTTCACCCCTACATGTTACCCTTTAATACAGTTCCTTATGTTGTGCTGACCCACAACCATAGAATTATTTTCATTACTGCTTCACAAGTGTATTTTTGCTACTGTTATGAATTGTAATATAAATATTGAAATTCAGGATGCCTGATATGTGAACACTGAAAACGTTGCTCAGCCACCAAAGGGGGCATGACCCACAGGTTGAGAACCACTGCTCAAATAGATGATATCAGCTAAAAGAAAAGAAAATGTTTGAGCTACTGTTGTTCTTTGCTACAGTAAAAACATGACAACAACAACAACAAAAAACACTTCAAACTGAATGATCATTCATTCTGTTTGAAATGCCCACGTAATGTCCAGCTTTTCAGATTGCTTGACAGAGAGGACAGGTGGGACTACCTTGGATACGTTGCCAGTCCCCGTGAACACAAAGGTTAAGGGTCCTATTGACTTTGGCATTAAACCCAGAGATATTTCATAGCCTGCGTCACGGACAGCCTGCACGGCCTGACTGCTGTTCCTGTAGTTGTGAGCCATGCCAAGATGCTGGAAGCAAGCACACACAATCCACGTCAATCCACCAGCTCAAACGCCTTTCTGTGCTGAAAATCTGACATGTTTCCAATAAACACATAAAATCTCTCACCATAAAAGGTGTATGATGTCCCAAAGCAAGGAGCCTTAAACCCATTCCATGTAAAATATTGATCATTCCTGTCACAGAACCAGATCAATAAAAAGACCATTAATTGAGTGGAGTTGAATAACAATACACAAAATAAATTCCGTTCATAGGCATTTATTTACCAGAGGAAATGATACATTTTTCTCTTTGTCCATTTTAAACCTGCTATGTACCCTAAGGAAGCAAAGACCATAGTATTTCAGATTCAGAAGGTACCTCAAGATATCTTGTCTATATCCTCTACTTTCTACTATCAAATACACTCACCCATCTACATCCTTGCCTGTTTTCTCCTAACATTGGTCCTGGTAAGATGGAAGAAAATACCTCTTCTCATCAAAGGTTAATCTCTCCCCCTGTCTGCAGTTCCCAACCTGTCCTAGCCTTCATACCAAGAAAGTCATCCTTGAATCACCCACCTCATAGTTCTCTGTAGGTTCATTCATACCAGTATCTAAAGATACTCCCATCTCTCATCCCAAAGTTAAGCAAACAAAGAAAACCAAAGTCGACATTGGCCTAGGAATTCTAGCAGATATTTAGTGGCCTATATGACTAAACTTGATGGAATTTTCAGATCCTGATTAACTTGTCAGAATTATCTGGCAGAGTAGACTGTTTCATATATTGACACTCATTTCCCCTCAGTCTCCCTGACTTGAATGTATCCTTCCTTCATCCTTCCCTTCCTGTCTCACTATATAGCCTAGGCTACTCTTGAACTCATTATGTAGCTCAGGCCAGCCTCAAATTCTGGAGTCTCCCGTCTCAGCCTCAAATAGTAGGACTGCAAACAGGTACAGCCATACCAAAGGTCAGAATCAATCTTACTTTCTTTAAGCACCTCTCAGTGTATATTAGCACCTTCAGGATTCTCTTTGGGGCTCCATTCTCTTCATACCTTCCTTTTCTCTTAGATAATTTCACACATCCTAAATTTAAGTATTTTCTGTATATGGATAATCCCCAAGTCTGCACTTCCAGTATGGATTATTATTTTGATTTCTAGAGGTTGCCAATCATCCTTCCTATGCCTTAAGTGGGGTGTCATCAGACATCTAAAACTCAGCATGCCCATAGCAATGACCTCATTATCTATTCTCCCTTTGTTTATGGAACTACAGTCTTTCATGCCTTTCCAGAACCTCTGCCATACATATAATTCTACCCAGGTTTCTTTTATCTTTTCGTTGAAGTCAACTTTTAAAAATGAATTGCTTATATGCAATAAAATGCAATTCAAAGGGTATAGTTTAATAACTATTAACAAATAGTCACACCCATGCATCACAGATCTAAGATGTGAATTGTTGCTACTATCTATATAAATTAGATTCTTTTGTTCTATGTAAGTGAAGTTATAAGCATATACACTATTGTTTTTTCATTTCATCTAGCATATTTTTAGATTTGTATCAATGCTTTTGTCTTTTTGTTGCTGAGGTTTCCCATTTTATGATTTATACCACAATCTGTTTATCTATTTCTCTCTTAATGGACATTTGTATTATTTCCAGAATATTACAGTTTTCTATAAAAACTTGTTTTTGTGGAACATATACACAATATGCTACATTACATTACACATATACAGTATGTATATGTGTCTACTTTAACTGGAGTGATACATAGGGTAATAATGCTTTCCTCGTTCCCTGTCTAACCAGAACTCCAATGCTCAAAACAATATAGGCTATCGCCACTGCCCTCGTCTGCATCCTCTTGAAGATAAGATGCTATTGACGAAGACACCATACACTTCAGACAAAGGACTTGAAGGAATTAAGCTGGAACTGGCCTGGAAACTTCTTTCCTGAGGACTGGTTCTGATAGTATGGGAAGGTGCTATGCAAGCTTCCAAGAGAGAAAAGCAGTCAATAGTCCTACCAGCTACAGAGTCTACAAACTACAACAATGAATGGCCCAGCAATGAGCTCCCAATGGTGCAATAATTCATTTTTATATTAGGAATAACCAACTTGCTTTAGGCCTGCTCAATAGGAGGGAATGTGTGCTATCACTGTAAAACTAGCCAACTACCCATGGCAGGAAAGTTCACAGACCTTAGAAAAGACCCTACAAATGACACTTTCTAAAACTAATATAACTTCTAACTATGTTCTAAATACTTTGACTTAACCTCACTAATAGTAACTCTCACCCCTCATCAAAGAAACTTTTTTTCAGTAGAGAGAGATTATTATGGAGATCCACAGTTGACCAAAATGCAGAAAGTAAGTTACCCAGCTTTAACTGACACATCTGCAGAATAATCCCTACACCTGAGGCTCAAGGAAAATTGTAGAAGAATGGCAGAAAATTTATAAAAGCCAGAGGGACAGGTTACCTGCTGCTAAATAGTGTCTTCTAGACGTAACAGGAAAGTTGTACTCATGAAGTATCGATCATATGGTTGTTTAAACAATACCTGCAGAGTGGCATGCACCAGGTGACATGCCAATGTGTATGAGAAAAACTTCATAAGGTCCCACCGCTAGATGAAGAACTACAGGAAACTAATGAATGCTGAGAGAAGGAGAATAAGTTTTCTCCAGGAATGAGCTCCCTGATAGGTTATCCAATCCCAAGTGGTCAGCCCTAAATGTCATACATACACGCAACTCTAAATTGACTCAGCAGGGTGTGTGCACATGTGTAACCATAATAATTTAAGAAAAGGTCATGAATTTGAGAGGAGTGTGAGAAACATAGAAGGGGTTGGAGAAAGAGGAAGAGGTAGAAATGATGGAAATACAGTACCCTTGAATGAAATTCACAAAAAATTTAAAACATTAAAGTTGTTTTTGAGTCTCACTATGTAGCCCACACTGGCCTCATATTTAGAGCAATCCTCCTGCCTCAAGCTTCTGAGTGCTAGTCCACCATTTTGTCAAGCTCACTAGCCTTAGTACATTTGTTGTTCTTTCAATGTTTGCAGAGGAGATTGTATTCTCTCTTATATTTCTTCTCTCAGCATAACGCCATCTTCCTCTTTTTCTTAGTCTATCTAGATGTTTTTTCAATTTTATTAATAGAATGACATTACACATGCCTAACCTTCTCTCCTCCTTACTTGCTTAAATAGGTTTTAATCATCCATCAAGTCCCAGCTTCAGATGCACTATCTCAAGGGCAACACCCCCAAACAGCTAGTTCCAGCTCCATGCCCTTTCTCTAGCAAGTAGCACTGACAATACTTGTGGGTTACCTTGCCTCCATAATTTTTTAAAGAATAAAGACCACATCCTATTCACAGACATGATGTTATTTCTGCATCAATCAGAATATTTCTGATGTGCTCATTTTCTCTAGAGACACAGAACATTCACCTGGGTAAGTCCCAAATGACTAGGAACAGTAGTCAACAGGGCTTACCCCTCACTTGGTCAAGAAGTTTCCCTTGCCAGCAACCCAGATTTTCTATTTATGGTGTCCCATTACCAAACCCAGTTTTGTTTCTCCAACAGGACCATTTAAAAACTAGAACCTATTCCTAAGTATTAACCTTTTGCCTTCTTCCTTTTTCTTTTCTTTGTGTTTTTGTCTTACCAGTAAACATAGGAAAGAGAAAACACACTTGCCATGCTGAGACACACTTAGAAGGTGACACAGAACCTTGACATACCTACCTGCCACACCAGCCCACTGTCCAAAAGCCACTATCCGAGACCCTCTGTGGTCCACCATTTTCTCATAATCAATTAATCGGATTTCCTGAAGAAATGGAAAGAAAAAACTGTTGCAACCAGGTAAATTCAGCTCAAACTCAATGAATAAGCCACATATAAAGAAGTAAAATTTTGTATTTTTTCCCTCTTAGAAAATTCATGTTGACCTACTAACCCATTACCATTAAATATTTTGAAAATGCTTGGTCACAAACCTTCTGTAATTAGATCTAAAGGAATGAACTTTGTGTTAAAAACATTCTTTGAAGTGGGTCAAAGGTTTCCTTTAAGTTACCATCTCCCCCAACCTGCCCAAAACCCTTTGAAATATACCTATGTCCCTCCTTATCATCAGTCTTCTGGTTCCAAAGAAAACACATCCTTCCTAAGATGAATCCCTGTGTGTGAGCAAATCCTGACTCATTCCAAGTCCTTCCCAGTCAGTCTTCTTGAACTATCTCCTCCTTACATATTCTTCCTGTATATGGCTCCTCAGTCATTTAACTATCTCTTTTAGCTAAAAAAAAATAGCAAAGATATGTCAACACACACTCTCTCTCTCTCTCTCTCTCTCTCTCTCTCTCTCTCCTCTCCATTTTAATCCCTCTTTTTCTCCTTCCTCTTTCTATCTTTACATTTCTTCATCTTCTTCATCTTTGCCAAACACAAATTCTTTCTCTTTCTTCACAGACTTTCCCTCTCTCAGGAAAGTCTCATTAGTGTAATTCTTAAAAGTTATATTATACTTATACAATACTTTTATCTTTTTAAAAACCATAGAAATTAGGGGCCTGGGGTACACTGCTAAGCATACAAAGAGTACTTGCTTAGCATGTGCAAGGTTATGAGTTGCAATGCCAGTACTGGGAGGAAACTGTGTAATTTCAAATCAAGTTTACAAATACAATGTTATTTAACATATATCTAACTCTGAATGACTGGTTAGCATGCTGCCCAAAAACCATCCTACTGGTTCTGTTTTTATTAATTTTCTGATGAAGACCAAAAGTTTATATAACAAAATATGTCTGAAGTGCTCTATAAAAGAGTTTATTTGCTTTAGAGTGGTTTTGTAATTAATAGAAACAAATCCTATTACCCCACATAAAATCCATTTCCTCCATTGCTCATATTGTTGGTAAATTCAACCTGTTTCTATTCTCAGATTCTATATCAAGTGTTCTACCATCCTTACTGAAAGTCATGGGCTTTGGCTATGGTCTGTATCTCCACTCACTTCCCACATTCATCCAGCCCCCCCCTAACTACACTCCACCTGGTCCCTCCAGTGCTGGTCCGGAAGAGCTGCTCTTCTAGGTTATAGACTCATGTCCAACATACTATCAGTTTTTCTGACAACTGTCAAAATGCAGACATCTGACAAGCTAAACCCTTCTGTCCCAACATGGCCATCCTTGCTTGCTCTCCTTATAAACAACATGGCCAATCTAGCTTGCTCTCCTCATATAAACACTCTCCCAGTCTATAGTGGCCCTTTTCAGATTCGAAAGCCCATGCCCTAATCACTGCTGATTTACTTCCTCAAATTCTACCTTCCCGTTATTAAAGAATTGTGTAGGATTCACCTGTAAACTGCACTTAGGGTTCCCCAAACATCACAGTATCTACTCTATCACCCAGGGCTAGTAAGTCTCATATATTGCCTATAGTCTAAACTGGCCCTAGACTAAGTCACCTGATTAATGTTGCTTTCTCCTCCCACCTCCAACCTTTATCCACATAACAGGAAGACAAAACACTTTAGAACACCACCTACTCTACCCACCCATTCACAAAGACGCTTGGATCTTTTTGTTTACATGTCTACCTGCTTGGAAGATTCATCACCATCAGACATGGCTTGGTCCTTCGTCTCCTTCAAATATCATTTGCAAATGCCTCCTTTGGGATGAGGCCCTATCAACGGTTGCATTGTCCCCTCTTGGTACCCATGTTCCTTTCTCCTTCAGTACTATATTTACCTCTTTTGCCAATTATCCTTCAGGCTGCCTTCTTTGCCTATCTCTGCCTTCTCCCACTGAATAAGGCACCAAAAACACAAGGGTAGTGGCTATTTTGTATTTTCATTGTGGTGAATTGTGTCAGGAATATTGTAGGCATTCAATACTGATTTCAATCAGTAGGCATTCCCATTTTAAATAGCTACTAATGTTTTCACAGTATTTAAATCTCAAAATATACTTCATCTCGTATGAATAGTAATGAATGTAAAGGCATTCCTAGTCCTGTTCTTGTGCTATAGGGCTGTGTAACCTCAGTTAAGCTACTGTACCTCTCTGAGCCTCACGTAGAAAATAAGCTGTTAGACCCTATCATCTCTGAGCCTCTTTTCAGCTCTGGAATTCCATGTGGTGGTATCTACACAATCGACCTTATAAATTAATAACTTCTTGAGGGGGAAAAACCCACAACTTTTATCCTTCTATTTCAGGATACATTAAACAATGAGGCACATTATTTTATGCATACTCCAAACCTGCACAACCAAGGCTAGATCTTCATTGGGGTACCCTGCCATGGACCATATCTCCTAGTGAAGTGAGTGACAGACCTACTGCTCAATGCCACATTACTGTGCATGAATATTGGTCACAATCACCTGTTTCAGGACTTCATCCAACAAGCTCATATTGGCTTCCTGGGCCTTTATTGTGTGGGAAAAGAAGGCATAAGTCTTCTTGGACATCAATTTTTCCTCTGGAGGTCTTTTTACTCCCAAAATTAGACAAGCTTCTGTGATGTCCTCCTGTAGAATGCCACCAGCCCTGGCATACTCCTGGGGATGCAATTTGAACCAAAAGTTACTCTTCAGATTGCAGCACCCATGCTTTCTCTGATAAAATGTACAAAGGTACAACAACCTTGAGAAGGATGAGGTTTGGTGAATTAGAAGAAATAACAGTATAGCTTCCTTAATAAAGAGTTATCAATCCTGCTTTGCTCTCATGGGAAAAGATTTGGAAAATCTATTATTCATTCATATTTAAGAGCAGATTATACTTTGATCACAAATGGAGACAGAAGAACAGATGTTCAAGGTCATCACTGGCTATCTAGTAAGTTCTAGGTGAGTCTGAACTACAGGAGACCCCTGTCAAAAGGAAAAAATTGTAATTTATTATATGCCAATAGCATGCTAGGATTAAAGACATGCACCACCACCACCCAACCCAAGATCAGCTTTTAATTTGGAATATTGTTAGCTCATGATTAAACAGTATGGGTGTGTGTGTGTGTGTGTTTGTGTGTGTGTGTGTGTGTGTGTGTACTTCTAAACTCTCTCCCCTAAAAGTACCAGTAAAAATAGCAGACGCCAGATTCTGATTTCTACATACTAAAAATAATAGTAAATGAAAGTATCTTAATGAAATAGTAAATCCCAGGTATAAGGCAGGGAAAGTGCATGGTGAGGCTGGGGTAATTCAAAGAAGTGAATTAACTGTTCAAGAAATGCTTGAACATCCTTGAAAAAACTCCCACAACCAAACTTGAGATATGCGGAATACTCAAAACAATGGCTTGAATGAAAAGGTCCATAATCTCAAATAATAATCAAAAGGCCAAAGAGAACAAAGAGAAGCAAATGAACTAGAGAGTGTCACATCAGAAAGGGACGGCTCTGCCAGTTTCTGTGCAAAACCTTGTTCAGGTGAAGATTCCTGGAGGATGCTAACACAGCCTGCTGAAAAGGCAGAGGATAAGAACTTCACAGATCCCAAAACACTGTCCCCCCAATTACACAATAAGGACAAAGGGGAAGATACATTTCTCCACTGGAGAGGTCATCTGGGAACCAGCTTAACCAAGACATCATATATTAATGATGGTGTGGTATCTTGAGTCTTTGATGCAGTACAATGAGATGATGGTACTTGACTGACATTTATGTCCCAAATGTCTAGCCTAAATCTAATCCTGAGGATGCAATCACAAGAGTTCTATTCAGAAGCAGAACCTGCTACAGGTCAGCTTCCTTGCCTCTTCAAAAGAGAATCAATGTCATTAAAATAAAATCAGGAAAGGAGGACATGCCCCAGATCACAACGAAAGACATGGAACAACGGCCTGTAGGAAACTTAGGTAAGCCTCGATTGAGCCAGTGGAGAACTTGAACACAGACCACATGAGAAGCAAGGCAGGCTACCTAATGTCTGCCACCCCAGCATGTGGGAGGTAGATGCATAAGGGACAGAAGTTCAAGATCACTCTCAGCTACACAGGGAATTCAAAGAATCTTGGCTACATGAGAAACTGTCTAAAACAGAACAAAATAAAAAAGCATAGAATTTTGGGGTTCTGTTTCTTGTGTGAAAATAATATAGTGGTTAAGTAAGAAAGCTCTGCCTAGGAGGCGCACATTGAGTGCTAATGTGTTTAGACCATCTGCAACCTGCTTTCAAATGATCCAGGGAAGGAAAAGCGCATATAGATTCCTAAAATTGGAACAAGAATATAACTTCTGTTATGATTGCTTCAAAACGTTAACAGAACGATGAATGCAAAGGGCTATCAAAATAGTTGTTGAAGTACACACACCGTCATAAAGATTCAACTCCACCTGAGGGAGCATTCCCTGGCTGCAAGAATGGCAACTTAGTCTGTTTCTTTCTAGCCCCAGAAATGGAGCTATACCTGAAGGAGATGGACTGCACCTGAAGGAGAGAATTACTGAGACTCAGAAACTTCTGAAAGCAGACCTTTAAACCCTTGGGAGGAGATTATGTGGAATGGAGTGAAAATGATATTTTTAGCAAAGTAATGGAATTAAAGAGGAATGAGCACATTTTGTGTTCTTTCAAATACTTCTGAATTAACCACTGTTGTATTCACAGATATTTAAAATTTAAAGTAGTCACCTTGTCGTGGATGGCCCGTCGATTGGAAGGCTGTATCAAGACCTTGTATCCCAGTTTGGTGATGCCCTTTATGTGTTTGGGAGCCAGAGGCGCCCTGCGCTCCCAGGCGTTCACATCCTCTCTCCGGAGCGCCATCACTGGCTTGTGGTGGAGACCTCTGGAGAGGCGGGCTGTGAGCCTGACCAGTCTCGGTCTCTGCACTCTCAGCATCTTCAAGTCTGCTAGCTGTAAAGGCAAGTTTCAACAGTAGCACAGAGAAGAGCAGAGGGCTCACAGATGAGTTCTGGTCTCCTTAGAAATCTGTTGAGAAGAGAACCAACCCACTTGACAGACACGAGAAGGACAAATCTCTGTCAGTAAATGTGCCTTTACTAAAGGCACATTACTGCCTTTATTTCTGCACTAAGTGTACCTAACTAAAGTCTCTGAAATTGGTCAACCTAACTTCTTAAATGTTTTATTAAACATGTTTCTAGCAGGAAAGCTTAAACATGTTAGTCTATTATACAAAGGCAAAGAGATAATACATATCAGTCTTTACAAACGGGCCCCTGTTTTAATGGTATAAAGCTTGAGATTCCTATAACAGTATACAAGAGTCTTCAACACTCCTGAGATTTTTCTCCATAAGCTTCCTGAATAGAAGTCACTCAGTGTGTTCTGCCCCCTAGTGGCCGAAAGTGAGTTTTTTTTAACCGTCCACAATAAGAAGTATCATCAGCACAAATAAAAATCAAGTATGTATAAACCTTAATACCACACGCTCAGTCGAGTTTGAGTTTGGTGGCATGCCTGTAACTCCAGCACTCAGGAGACTGAAGCAAGAGGGTCGCCATGAGCTCAAAGTGATGTCCCAAAAAAGGGAAGAAAACAAAACAAAAAAAACTTCATGATCATTTTAAACAAAACAAAAAAAAACTTCATGATGATTTTCTAGACCTCATGATCATTTTTCAAGATCTTCACTGTTACTGAATTTAGCAAAAGTACTGTTTCGGCAACTACATTAAGTTAATAAAAACCAACCACTCTATCGCATGGATTTCTTCACCACAGACTCTGGCTTCCCTCTCACAGATCTAACAGGCTTCCTCGCTACACTCAGCCTTCTGGCCTTTGTATGTATAGAAGCATTGCTGCTCTCAAACAGTTCTCACCTCTATTCAAGTATGCACAATTCCACTCATTTAGTAGCCAGAACAAACATATTTCACAAAATAAATATTCTGTGTCCTATGAAAATAAGTTTTATATAGGTTTTTCCTTAGAAATATCTAGGTCCAAAAGTATTTTTTCTTTGTCCATTTCAAATGCTTGTATACACCTTAAAGTCAAATATTGCTGATAATTTTCTAAATCGTTCAAATGTTATTATTCTATCTATGCAAGGTTCACAGTAAATTATGGGGTTTACATATTCTCAAAAAAAAATCTTACCCATTATAGATCTAGAAATTTCCTACTCATTACAGATAGTACCTGGTAAAACTTTTATGTTACGAAGTAACACATTTTGTTTACTTGAGAATTCAAGCTCTAAGGAACATCTTTCTCACAGATGGTAACAGTGACCAAACACTTAAGTACTTGCTATCTATAGATGTAGAGAGCGCTTCACAAAAGGACCATGGGAGAAAGCAAGAAGGAAGCTGTCCAGGAAGAGACAGCTACGCACAACAGAAATCACACAGCAGCATAGCAGTCCAGGCTTTGGTGGGGACAAACTGTTTGATGAGAACAAGAGATAGAATCTGCCAGGTAGGGACCTCCAAATAGTAGTTCTGAGAATGCTCTTGCTGAAGGCCAGGAATTCTAGAAGAGACACTACAGGATGGGAGGAATTGAGAGGAAGTACCTGAACTACCTATGGGTAACCCAATTGGATTGACCAGGCTCTCCCTGCCCCCATGCCTCACCCAAGTCTCTGCAATAAGTCCTTCAAAGGGTGTCAGTGAGGAGGCCTAGGTAATCTATTGAGCCTTGGACAGTAGATCAGTACTCATCCCAAATATACACATGGACTTTGGACTCCCATCCAACAATGTGAGATGCACTCTCACCCTGAACTCTTGGGGGAGGGTCTAGGCCCTGCCCTGGAAGAAATGACAGACTATGGACACCCCTATGGAGGGCCTCACCCTCCCTAGGGAAATGAGGGGATAATGGGGGGGTTGGGGGGAGGGCATGGGAGGAGGGAAGGGAAAGGGAGAGGGACCTGGGACTGACTTGTGAAGCAACCTTGTTTCTAATCTAAATTTAAACTTAAAAATAAAAAAAAAAGTCCTTCAAAGCTCCCAGGGTAGCAGCTGGGAAGCACGCCATTTTCTGGGCCTGTTCTTGCTATACAGAAACAGAGTCCTCTCCATTACTCTAAGCTCCCACCATAACGAACCTTCTAAGGCTCATCTTCTGTGGTATGCATTTTATTCTTAGAATTCAAAACACAAGAGCCTGAAAGCCAATGGCTCGGGGCAGCTTTCATGGCCAGTAAGTTTTGTTGGATGCTATCTCCACACACTAAACTCACCAAGAGCCAAGAGAGGTTCAGCTGAGCATTTCACACATCATACAGATCAACAAACTGGTGTTTATCATTTCAGTAAAGGATTACTAACACTACATGCAGTTTTTGGCTTACTCATTTAATTTTTGTTACTCAAAGAAAAGACATTAAACTCAAGCCCAAGTCCATAACACTATCCCCCAACCATAGGGCCACTTGCAATGTCTCATAAACCTGAACTTCTTTGTTCCTCAATACCACTCCAAAGACAGTGTTTCCTTTGTACATGAATGCACACACATGCCCACACAGCACTTCTTGTATTCACAGGTGACCATGTCATGAGTTTCCCTTTTGGGCCCTAAATGATGGCATGTGCACACGTTATCATTAGTTACTGTCCCTTTTCCCAAGCTCCAGCCCAAGCTTGATTACTAACCAAAGTCACCTTCCAAAATTCAGTGACACCCTCTCCTTTCCTGGTGTTGGATTGGAGATGGCAGTGGACACACATATCATGCAAAGTCATACAGTCTAATGGAACTAGAAGACAAAATCATCAGAAATGGAATCCTCTTAGGAAGCTACAGTCACAAGGAATTCTAACATTATTAAGTTCCTGTATTTCACATTTTAAAATAAATAGTAAATATCATAAGCCTTGCGCTATACCGCACCCTTCACAGATACTAATTCATTTCCTTCTTGCAAAAAAAAATCTTATGTAGATAGCAGTATGGTCCCTTCCTCACAGATAAAGAAGAGGACACTGGAGTCTGACTGGGTGGTTCACTACTGTGTAGAAGCAGAATTCCTAGGCTAGAGCTTAAAACCTGCAGTTTTCTCTGCTTTGCCAAAGGCCAGGGATTGTACTAGACAAGGAGGCTTGGCACACTGCTACTCTCACCAGCTCTGGCTTCAGAAAGAAATCTGGCACCCAACCTGTCAATCATCAATGCTCCCTCTTGACCTCAATTCCTCTGTTGACTGAAAGTCTTTCCTGAGTCCCTGCCAAGGTAAATTCTAGACCTCTGGGTGTTTGAGGAACAATAGGGGCTGAGATTATTGGAGCTCTTACCGGTCACTTGTAACTTGGTGAACTTTGAAACCTGGTCTCAGCACAGAGCTTCCCAGTCACCTGAGGTCATCGAGAAATAGGAAATGGACGGAGAATGGAACTCAACGGAAGAGTGTGTGCCTAGCAGGAAAGCAGGTTCCACTCCCAACACCAGGAAAAGGGGACAAGGAGTAAGTAAAGCATCAGAGGGACATCAGAATTGCACTTCAGAACAGCCACTTACCTACCAGCAATGACTGTAAAACGCTGCTCTGGATTCCCGGTCCAGGATTTTGTGATATTTGGAAAACTATTAGGAAGTAAAGACCGAGTTTATTTTCAGACAAGGTGGGATGATTCTGGCTTACCCATCAACTCTAGTGAATCAGCTGACATTACTGAGTGCTGATAAGAGGGGCAGCATGAGTAAGGAGGATGTGAGGACAGGAGGGAAAAGAGCTGCGGAGACACAGGAAGAGAAAGAACTAGAAATGGGGTGTCATGTATTCAAGGGATAGGGGGAGACCTTCACCCTGAAAATTCTAATCTTTTTCCCTCCAACACATTGAAGGTCAGCATTTCAAATTCAAGCATGTAAGCTTAAAAGTATCCTGTGTCTTTCTGAGAAAAAAAATATCTCTACAGTATATTCTCACTCACATAGGATTCACTGGGAACCTAAAATGTGTCTTTCAGTCACTGGAGTATCACGGTGAGCTGCACAGAGATAGGCTGACAGCCATAGAGCTTGATATGTAACAGCATCTCCAGTCGCTATTTTTTCAGGTTCTCACATCTGTGTAGCAAGCAATTTATCAAATGAGCTGTCTCTCCAGGCCTTTCACAGATCTTTTAATTCTCCTAGCAAATATCAAAAATTCCTCTAAGCTCCTCCAATCTTTATATAGCAACTACTTACAAAAAATCCTCCCAGTGACAGACATGGAGGACTGATGAGCAAAGGGGTCAAGACCATGCTGGTGAAACCCACAGAAACAGCTGACCTGAACAAGACAGCTGACTGGACAAGAGGGAGCTCTTGAACCCCAGACTGATGGCTGAGAGGTCAGCAGGGGACTGATCCAGACTCCATGAATGTAGTGTCAGTGAGGAGGCCTCAGAAATCTCTGGGGCCTTGGGTAGTAGATTAGTGTTCACCGTGGCATATAAATGAACTTTGAGAGCCCATTCCACATGGAGGGATGCTCTCTCAGCCTGGACACATGGGGAAGGGTCTAGGTCCTGCCTGGGATGAAATGACAGGCTCTGGAGATCCCCCCAAGGAGGGTCTCACCCTCCCTGGGGATTGGGCTTGGGGGGGGCGCTGGTGGAGGGACAAGGGAGGAGGGGTGGGAGAGGGAGCTAGGATTGACATTTGAAACATGCATATTTCTAACTTAAATAAAAACATATTTTAAAAATCCTCCATACCAGATATTTATATTATGATACATAAAAGTAGCAAAATTCACTCAGATCTTGCTCCATTTCCCCTCTCTGGGGTACAATGCATATCTCAATTAAGGGAGCATGAGGGGATGGGAGAGGGAGCTGGGAAAAAAAAGAGGGGGAGAAGAGGAGAGGAGAGGAGGACATGGGGAAGCAGGGAGGTTGAGTCAGGGGAAGAATACAGGAGAGCAGGATGAGAGAAACCATAATAGAGGGAGTCATTATAGGTTTGAAGAGAGATCTGGCACTAGTGAGATTTTCAGAGATCTGTAAAGATGACACCAACCGGCAAACTAACCAATAGTGGAGAGGCTACCTTAAATGACCTTTCCTGATAATGAGATTGACGACTACCTTATATGTCATTCTAGAGCCTTCACCCAGTGGCTGATGGAAGCATAATTTGACACCCACGGCTAAACACTGAACTGAACTCCTGGAACCCAGGGCAGAGAGGGAGGAGTGATGAACAAAGGGGTCAAGACTGGGCTGGTGAAACCACAGAAACAGCTGACCTGAACAAGTGGGAGCTCTTGGACCCCAGACTGATAGCTGAGAGGCCACCATGAGACTGATCCAGACTGCTTGAATGTGGGTGTCAGTGAGGAGGCCTTGGCAGTCTATGGGGCCTTGGTTAGTAGATCAGCATTTATCCCTGGCATACAAGTGGACTTTAAGTGCCCATCCCACACTGAGGGATGCTCTCTCAGTCTGGACACATGGGGGAGGGGCTAGGCCCTGCCCTGGATGAAATGACAGACTCTGGAGATCCCCCATGGAGGGCCTCACCCTCCCTGGGGAGCAGAGTGGGGATTGGGTGGGGTGCTGGGAAGGAGGGGAGGGAGAGGGAGCTGGGATTGACATGTGAAGCAAGCTTGTTTCTAATTTAAATTTTAAAAGATTTTTTAAAGTTGCAAAATTACAGTTAGGAAGCTGCAACAAAAATAATTTTATGGTTGGGGTCACCACATGAGGAACTGTATTAAAGGACTGCAGTGTTAAGAATGTTGAGAACCACTGCACTGCACTAGGCCTATGTTCAATAACAAACTATAAAGACCTAAGCATGGTTTCCCTTAACTTCTATCACTTCCACTGGGACATGAACAAGCTTAGGAATGTGCGTTCATTTTGGAGAAATTAAGACCAAATGTTCCATCTGTGTCTTACACTCAGGCATGCCATAGAGACCATTTGTTTTAATTCTTTAGAACAACCCTACTCCCCATAATTCAGTGACTGAAACTACTAAATCACAGGGAGAGGTTTTTCAATGCCAAGTTATTTGCAGCAATCAGATATACACCTGGGTTAAACATTAAGAGACTATGAAAGAATTAATATAGACCTCAGATGAAGAAATAATATATAAGAAATGCAAATTGTTTCTGTCTTTTTAGTGCATTCAAAAATTGCAGATGTGTTTTAAAATATATTTTTAAGATTTATTTTGTGTATGTGTGTGTGTTAGTATAGCCACTGTATCCAGAAGAGGACATCTAAGCCCTTGGAGTACAGTTCCATGTTTTTATGGGCTGCCTGATAAAGAAGCTAGATACCAAACTCAGTTCTCCGCAAAAACAGCCAAGTGTTTTTAATCTCTGGGTCGTTTCTCCAGCCACACGCATTAGTATTTTAAAACAAAATACATACTGGTATATTTCCATATGCTATATCTTCCCAGTATATGTAAAGTAACATAGTGGCTTCATACCTATGCTTCTTACCCATTTCCCAGACCATAGAGTTCCTGGGAACTTCAAGGGTTCCAGTGCCAACAGAACATCTGACAATGGCTTAGTTCTAACTAAGCCAAATCCCTCCCAACTCCAAGGGCTTGTTGGAACCAAGCCTGGAACTGCAAAGGCACTGGCCTCAGATTTCCACTTCCTCTTCCCCAATACATTTCTCAAATGCTTCCATGTTGAGCCTATTTATAAAAGTGCTAGCCAAACTGTTAAAAAAACAAAATTAAATTAAAATAAATTGCTAAAGTTTAAAATCACCTGGACGGTGATGACTAACCTCCATTGTCACCTTGATAGATTTAGAATAGCAGAGGCGTGTTCGTGAGGCTTCTCCAGAGAAGTTTAACAGAGGAAGGAGGATGATCCTCCCTGAATGTGGGTGGTAGCATCCCATAGGCTGGGATTCTGGGATGAATAAAAGGAAAGGGGGAAGTCTGAGCACAGCGTTCATCTCTTTCTACGTCTTAACTTTGAACCACATGTGATCAGCAGCCTCACACTCACACTCTGATGCCTTCCCTCCGTGATGGACTTTATCCCTTTTTATGTGGGCCAAGAAAACTCTCTCCCCTTCTAATTGCTTCTATTGAGCTTTCTCCCCCGGCCCCCACAGCAACAACGGTAACTACAGAGACTCTTTGAGGACGGGTCTCTTACTGTTCATTTATCTGGTCTGAGAATATTCATATTGACTCAGTCCCTCAGCTGCTGTCATGCAAGGATCGAAAAACCTGATTCTCAAAGCCAGGTGTGGTGGTGCACGCCTTTAATCCCAGCACTTGGGAGGCAGAGGCAGGTGGATTTCTGTGAGTTAGGGGCTAACCTGGTCCTTAGTGAGTTCCAAGAGACCCAGGGCTGCATAGAGAGACCCTGTCTCAAAAACAAAAAAAAAACCTGACTCTCCTAGATCACAGATTTAGACTCAGTGAAATGGAAAGCAAAGTCCTGAACTAAAGGACAATCAAAAATTGTTATCTGCTACATTCATGTTTCCTTACTAATTTTCATAGTCCAGGGTGGTAAATACGAATTACTCCCTTCTATATTCCAAGTGATTAGCACATCAGAAAACCTGAAATATTTAAAAACAAAGAATAAATTTACCACACAATTAGATAACTGTAATACTAATGAATTATGTATTTTGAAAAACTAGAAGGGAATTTTACAGTATTCTTAGTAAAGAAATTGCAAATGTTGGAGACGGATATTTTTATCCTGATTCAAACAGTACATGATATATGCATGTTATCAAATCAGCACATGATGCCAATTAATATAGTTTTATGATTTTGTGAGCAGGTAAATTTTTAAATTATTTATCTTAAAGTAAGTAATGAGAAATTTTAAATATGCATCACAAAAACCTATGCAATAGAGCATGCATGCTAAATAAAAACTAGATTATCAATGCATCTTCCCCACCCCAGTACAAACACACACACACACCAGGGGAAGCGGAGAGACTACATAAATACTAGAATATTTTTAAGAAGAAAAGGTTCCTTTAGCGATATTATTCTGATTCCATTAAGCTCAGTAGAGAGTCAGCAATGTGGACTACAAGAGTGTTGAAGTTTTAGAATATCCATCAGCCTGTACATATCCAGCCGAAGTGCGCTAAACAAAAAAGGCACCGAGACAACAAAGAGAAAGACAGGACAATCACCTAAGGCTCCAGCAGTGTGTCATTAACCACCTTAACCAGAGGCCAGCGCCTCTAACAGGAAGCAGATGCCAAGGAGTTCAGGCTCACCTCCTTGAAACGGCCCCAGCACCAGGAACTTATCTCTGAACCTGATTCACACCTTACCTGCAGGTCAATCATCTGTAACATCCAACTAACTCTCAAGGCTGCTGTGAACCTTAGCGACCCAAACCCCTCCCATATGCTCTAAACAACAAATGTGAAGAAAGGAAAAAAGTCCAAGCCTGTTGATTCCTCCAATGGGAGCATAGCCACCCCTAGTCAAAGACACTACTTGCCCTTGCCCTTTATATTATGCTTCTCCGATAGGAAAAGAAAACTAGAACCCAAATTGAAAAGGCCTGTCTTGAACGCCACTCTTTAGACACAGCTGAACATGTAAAATCCATTGCCATTTTAACTCTATTTCAACAAGGTTTTCACATTTTAGCGTCTCTAAAATAGGGATGCATCTTAAATTGAAGACACCTTAGATTCAATGAATACAGTGATTGTGACAAGGTATGTGATTTTCTAGAAGAGTGGGGAAATACCTCCAATATACAAACTCAACATTTGTCTTCCTATGTCACTTTGCAGAAATGACAACAAGATTACATAGCCAACAAGTTCATACAGCCCTAGGTCCACTCACCTTCATGGCAGGGAAGAGTGGGATAGCAAAATACACGCGCACACACATATATACACGCAACACACACAATGCCATCGTGCTTTGTACAAAGAACTGGAAGAACTCCGTGTACATCACTGACCACCCAGTGCGGTGTACACAGACAGTCCCATAACGCTAGTCAACGCTACACGTTTGCCCACATTCCCACAACTCATGACCCATAATATCCAAGAAACGTCAGTTTCTACTGATTTAGGAATGAATTCATTTATTCATCTTCTCTCTCTCTCCCCTCTCTCTTCATTCAACCAGGCAGAGTTGTTAACAAAGCGCATCCGCAGAACCATCTCCTTGAGCATTGGCCTGGCCTGCACAGCCAGCCAGGGTATCTAGAGCTTTGGAGACCTGAAACCCAGCTTACCCAACTTTCCCTCTCATGCCTATCTCATTTAGAATACAGACTGACCGAGCCAGGTCTCTGTCTCAGACAGAGGGACCAACCCTAAACCTGCAGCTGGGGGTGTGAAGTTCGGTGTCACAGTTCCACGGAACCAAATTGGGGGGGGGGCGTTCCGGGGAGAATCTTGCACCCTCCATCAGTCACCACCGGCAAGTAAGCTTTGAAAAAGTTATCCACTCTGCAACTTCAGCTTCAACACATCAACCCATAGTCTCCTGCAACAGCACCACAACCGCCAGCGACCACCCCGAAAAAAGTGCATCGCCCCCTCCCCCCTCCTCCTACTCAGAAGCCGAGGAGCTGAGCCCACCGCCCTTCCTCCCTTCGGGCAGGCTGGGCAGCAAGGCCTAAAGCTTGTCCCGCTTCCTAGCTTTGTGACCCTGGGGCCCTAGGCGTCGCCCCGCCGCTCCGGGACCTGAGGACGACCTCCGGGCCAACAGCTGGGAGTCCCGCGGTTGAGCCGCGAGCTCCAAATGCATCCTGCAAGCAGGGATCGAGCCTGCATCCGCGTCGTCCTCCAGGCTCCCTTCTTACCTTGTGGATTCTGAATAGTCCCCCGCAGCCCGGAGCTCCTCAGTCTGGACCCTGCTGTCTCTGATTCCCCTGGAAAAAAAAATATTGGCTTGGGGGGCCGGGGGCGAGAAGAAGGGGGAGGTGTTTGCTCAACTTTTAAGTACGTCACAAGTCTCCCGCAGCCAATCAGCAGCAGCCTCGAAGGAACAACCTTCTCTTCCGCCAATCGGCGGCGCTGCCAGGTACTAGGTCATGCCCTGCCCCTGTCCTACCCTGAGGTTCATCTGCCTGAAAGATCTCTGACCCTAGGGCTTAACTCAGGTCCTCCCTAGGTGGTTATTGACCAGGTTTGTAACTGCCTGTGGCAGAAAGCAAGCGAAGACAGAAAAAGAACGAAAGAAATGTCTGGGCAGTAACTACTGAGTAGATTAGCTTATCTCCTGGAAAAAGTCGAAAGCTCATGTGTCATGTTTGTTTTATGAAATGCACCTTCCCCACAGCTTGTAACAGGAATAGAAAGTCCAGCACGATGAGAATTCTAGCGTGTTTTTAGAATCCTGTTATCTGAGAACCCGAATACACCACATTCAAGGAACAGAAGTTTGTGGGTGACGAATGTATTACAGAGTGCTGTGTTGCTGAAAAAAAAATGTGTTTCATAAAGACCAGCCTCAGCGATAGTGGAGCCTCGGGGTAATAGCTGGAAGTCTCTCCTCCATTTAGACTTGTCAAGGCAAGTTTCTGCAAATAAGCCTAAAGTGCTGAATAGTTTTGGTTTTTTTTTTTTTTTTTGGTTTTGTTGTTGTTTTTATCAACTTGACACAAGCTAGGTATCAGAGAGGAAGGAGCCTCAATCAAGAAGAAAATCTCCATAAGATCTGGCTGTAGGCAAGCCTATATAGGACACTTACTTATGTAGCGGTTCGTGGGAGAAGCCCATTGTGGTTGGTGCCATCCCTGGGCTGGTGGTCCTGTAAGAAAACAGGCTGAGCCAGCCATGGGAAGCAAGCCAGGAAGCATCACTCCTCCCTGGCCTCCGCATCAACTCCTGCTTCTAGGTTCCTGTCCTACTTCAGTTCCTGCCCTCAATGCTTTTGATGATGAAATGTTGTGTGGAAGTAGCAGCAAAATAAAGCCCTTTCCTCCCCGCATTGCTTTTCACCATGGTGTTTCATCACAACAATGGAAACCCCACAGGAGACAGCAGGTACCAGGATAGCAGAGTATTGCTCTGAGATACCTGCCCTTGTGTTGGAGATGACTGTGGAGGACTTCATAACTTTAGAATAGAAAAGCCACTGAGTATTAAGATCTCCGTGAGCTGTTCTGTAGGACCTTGGAAAATAAAAATGTTGAGGGCAACGCAGATAATGGAGGCCTGGCTTGTGAAGTTTCAGAGAGAAGTTTAAAGACTCTGGCTGGGCCATTTGTTATTTTGAATTAAGTACTGGTTAGCTGGGGCTGAAGAATCAGCTGTGATTAACAAGATACCAGCACCTGCTGGGCAGTGATGGCAATGGCGCATGCCTTTAATCCCAGCACTCAGGAGGCAGAGGCAGGCAGATCTCTGTGAGTTCCAGACCAGTCTCCAAAGCCACAGAGAAACCCTGTCTCAGAAAAAAAAAGCCAAGATACCAGAACTACTAAGCTTTGCTGGAATAATCAGTGTTGGTCAGCTGGAACTGAGAAATTAGTAATGACTAAAAAGGCACCAACATCATTAAATTGAAATCTTCTGGATTGTGTTTCCTGGGAGTTAGCACACAAAAGTTATGGATGAATGAGAAAGGAAAGGGCTTAACAGGGATGTGTTTGTGTGTCAAGCTGACATAAATTTAGGATCATAGAGAGGAGACAGCCTCAGTCAAGAAACTGTCTCAATGAAGACTGGGCTACAAGTCGGGCATTTGGTGGCACACGCCTGTAATCCCAGCACTTGGGAGGCAGAGGCAGGTGGATCACTATGAGTTCCAGGCCAGCCTGGTCTACAGAGCTAGTTCCAGGACAGCTTCCAAAACAATACAGAGAAACCCTGTCTCGAAAAACCAAAAAAAAAAAAAAAAGATTGGGCTACAGGCAAGTCTACAGGGCATTTTCTTGTGATTCATTGGGGAGGGCAGAATGCTTGTGGGGCTGCCTGGGGTCTTGTAGTCCTGGATTCTGTAAGAAAACAGGCTCAGCAAGTCAGTACACAGCACCCTCCATGACCTCTGCATCAGCTCCTGCTGCCAGGTTCCTGCCCTGCTTGATTTCCTGCCTTCACTGCTTTTGATGATCAGCTGTTCTATGGAACTGTGAACAAAATAAACTCTGTCCTCCCCATGTTGCTTTTGGTTGTGGTGTTTCTTGCAGCACTAGAAACTCTAAGACACCTAACCTAACCTTATATTTTTACCAGCCCAACTGGTTAGAACTGCAGTGATTGTGGAGAAATTGGAATGTTGCATGTCCACAGCCTAGCTACTGTTTATCTCTTACTATCATTAGGCCCCTTGGCCTTCTCTGTGTCTGACATAACGTCCTGTGACTAACAGGTAAAACATTTTCCACCAACCTAAAGAATGCTGCCACACAGTATGCGAGACCTATTACGGAGATTCCCCCTGATTCACTGTAAACAGCTTACCTGATGTTTCCACCAATTGTGTTTGAAAAGTAATAGTGTGTGTTTTCTGTTGTTGTTGTTGTTCTGCTAATATAACACTACAAGAAACTGCTGCCATGTTGGAACTTGGAATTTTTGGTAACCTGCGTCTGTGTTCCTGGGCCATAGCCTGAGTCTGTGTTCACTCACATGGGCTTCTAACAGAAACTGTCCCTTACTCCCACTGAGGTGAGAGCTGTTTCTTGCTTTTTTCTCACATCTACAAGTACATCTAGCTATTGAACTCTTGTGTCAACACTTCAACAGAGTGGTTCTCATTCTCAACCTTCCTAATGCTACGACCTTTTAATACAGCTCCTCATGTTGTGGCAACCCCCCCACCATAAAATTATTTCATTGCCACTTCATAACTGTAATTTTGCCACTGTTGCAAATCATAATGTAAATGGTCAATATGCAGGAAATCTGATATACAACCCCACAAAAGGGTCTCGACCCATAGGTTGAGAACCACTGCCTTACAGAGTGGAACATTTTTGAAACTCCACTCATAGCTCCAACTGAAGAGAAAATAAGAATTTTCCCTGGAAGTTAGTTGGTTTGTGTTCTGCCTTTATCTTCGCATACCCAATCACAAATACCGCCTCCCTCTTCCATAGCTTCCTCATTTTCTCAGTTTTGCCTCCACAGCAGAGCCAGCCTTAGACCAACATGAGACAGAGTGTTCAGTCTCATCTCTCCAAGGATCAACAGCCTACTTAACAATCCTCGCTTTCTCCTGTCAAGTAGAAAATCATGGGCAGGTTGCTTAGATTTTAGTTGTTTGTTTTTAACGTTTCGTTCCCTCATGTGGTGATAGGATAATAAGATCTGTTTCGTGGAATCCGGAGGTAGAGGGGGGGAAAAGTCACACTAGCCCAGGTGTTCTACCAAGTAACTCACTTTTTAAAAAAAGAAAGAAAAGGAAAAATAAAAAAGGTTATTTTTATTTATTTATTTATTTATTTTCCCCACATATCTCACTTTCTATACAAAACATAATCTAACTTACAAAAATGTAGACCTCTGTAAAACTAAGCCATGCTCGCTAGGGTTCATTATCATTTTCCTTCACCAGAAGTGCAGAAAAGATGAAGATTAGGTACTTAATTATGGAGATGGCTCCGTAATTAACAGTACTTGCTTTTCTTGCAGAGGAGCCAGGTTCAGTTCTCAGCACCTACATGATGGCTTACAGACACTTGTAAGTTCAGTTAAGATACTAGACATCCTCTCTGACCTCTAAGGACACGAGGTTCACAAACCAGTGCACATAATACGTGCAGGCAAACATACATATAAAGTAAAAGTATATTTTTAAAAAATGATTAAATAATACATATTCCCATTAGATGTGAGCTAATACTTGGATTCAGTTTCCACTTCAGCCCCCACCATTTCCTCCGTGGAGGAACACAGTGTCCTTATGCCCCACTGTCATAAAGGGGAAAGAGATAGTCTAAGGATTCAGGTATTATGCTGGCCTGCCCCTGTCACCAGGCAGTACCCTGGTCATCCCAGGGTTCCACAAATGCTAATCTGCACACAGGTGCAAAGGACCCCCTTATACTCTCTTTCTCTCTTTCCTGCTGTTCCCTTGGGGCAGACAGGACTTTTCCTGTCTCCCTCTTCTCTTCTGTCCTCTCTCTGTCTCTGTGTCTCTCTGCCTCTTTTCTCTTTCCTCCCCCAATTTCCCTTTATAATAAAACTTCTCACATAAGCTCTGTCTGCCTGGCATGTTTATCACCCACCTTGGTCACCCTCACCTGCCATGGAATTTACCAAGGTTCCCCTCCAGCATTATCATAACACATAGATATTTGAGACAAAGAGGAAGAAATAGAACATTTCTAAATTTGTTCCATTTTTTCTCAAACTCTGCAATTCTTATGTGAACAGTAGTTTTTACAGCATCATATATAATTTCTTTTTTTAATTTTTTAATTTAAGTTAGAAACAAGGTTGTTTTACATGTCAATCCCAGTTCCCTCTCCCTCCCCTCCTCCTCTGACCTCCACTAACTCCCTATCCCATCCCCTTTCTGCTCCCCATGGAGGGTGAGGCCTTTCATGGTGGATCTTCAAAGTCTGTCATGTCATTTAAAGCACGACCTAGACCCCTCTCAGTGTGTCTAGGATGAGAGAGTATCCCTCTATGTGGAGTTGGCTCCCAAAGTTCATTTTTGTACTAGGGATAAATACTGATCTACTGCCAGAGGACCCATAGATTGCTCAGACATCCACATTCAGGGGGTCTGGAACAGTCCTATTCTGGTTTTCCAGCTATCAATCTGGAGCCCATGGGCTCCCCTTGTTCAGGTCAGCTGTTTCTGTGAGTTTCTCCAGCCTGATCTTGACCCCTCTGTTCATCACTCCTCCCTCTCTGCAACTGGATTTCAAGGGTTCAGTTCAGTGTTTAGCTGTGGGTGTCTGCTACTACTTCCATCAACTACTGGATGAAGGCTCGAGGATGGCATATAAGGTAGTCATCA